ATGTTTCTTTTCAGTGCTAGTGATACTCATTTTTGTTCTGGTGAAACTTTCCCCAGCTGGAAAAGCCCCCACCACCTTTGGGATTTCTAAAACATTTGCCTGAGGCTCTGCCAGCTGGCTCTGTCCCTCCCCTGCCTTCACCCAGAGCACTTCTGGAAAGTTGCCTAGTGAAGAGGGAGGGAGGAAAGCCGGAAGGGGTGAGGGATACAAGGCGGAGGTGCTGGGTGGAGGCAGAGAGAGGAAAACAGCTGCCAGAATCTAAGAGGTAATTCCAGAATCTAGCGGTGTCAGGGGTGACGCCAAGCCTTTTGCAGACATCGGTCATCACTCAGTACAAGACCTGGGGACAGGCAGGAGGCAGACAGCTTGGTTCTACCCAAGTGTCCTTTGCCCTGAAGGTGTGTGTGGCACTGAGGGATCAAAAGGCCGGAGTGTCCACCCTCCCCAGTAGAGAACTGGGTGTTTTGCAGTCACGGGTCAATGAGTCAGAGAGAGGAACTTTGGCTGTGCCTAGGGGTGCATGGCTCAGGGTGGTCAAAGGGCAAACGCAATGATTTTGGGCCTAGTGAAGTGTAACCTTGTGAGAAGAGGTTAACAGAGGCTCCAGCCCCAGCTGTGCCTGGCAGGATCCTGGGCAATCAGTTACCAGAGGTTAGGACCCCAGGATCAGGCCCAGGCCCACCCCAGTAGGACTTGTCCTTCCAGAGCTACAGGAGTTGCAGCCTCTTGGGTGGGGAGGGGGGGGGTGGGTCCTGGATCTGTGCTGCCAGCTACAGCTGGCCTGTGACAAGTAGGGAGCCTGAGAGCACTGCCTTGCCCCTTCCCTGTCAGCCTCAGGTTTCTGGGCCACCCCTTTTGCCTGGGTTGGTGGCTTCTAGGCTTATTCCAAACCTGTGTGCTTATCCCACTATTGCTGAGCCTTTCTGGCTTGCCCAATTACCTCATGGCACAGGGAGGATGCCAGGTGCAGCAGAGCCAGCTCCTCTGCCTTGGTTGGAAGCCTCCTTAATGCCAGGCTGTGTGGGGAGAGTTTGCAATGATTTGCCACTCCCTTTCCTTGCCCGCCACCCACCTCTTAACAGTCGCAGGGCATTGTTACTCAGGGGCCTTCTCCCTGTGAAGATGCTGAGTAGGGCTGTGTCCTCTCTCCCCTAAGTGCAGGAGACTTCAACTGCTCCAGACAAAGGTGTGGAAAATGGGCTGGACAGAGGAGAGGAGACAGCAGAATGGAGAAGAGAGAATGGAGGTGGGGAGAAAACGGGGGAGAGCTAATGTATCTGTGTGTGCACCATGGAAGTTGCCCTTCTCGGCTGTTCCTCCATCACAGTGGAAGCTGCTTCCTCTCTTGTGAAGTTGGGGCTAGTGATTAGTTCTGACCCTCAGAGCCAGGCAGAGTGGCCTGTGTAACTTCCCAGCTGGGATTCTACATGGATGTAGCCGCCACTTGTGCTCCTGGAATGCCCCCCGTCAGCCCCACCTCCACGCTGTGAGAAGCCCAAGCTGCCCCGGAAGATTTGGAAGGAGGGTTCAAGTTTGTCACGTGACAGCCTCAGTGGCGCGCCCACCCCACTGACCGTGGGCACCCACTGGCACCCCGGCAGACCAGCCAGCCCAGGTGAACCCCCCAGTTACTCTGCACAGACACAGCAACATGAGCTGGAGCAAAACCACCATCTGGCTGATCCCAGGCAGCCCACACTCATGATGGTTGTTTTAAGACACTAAGTTATGGGGTCACTTGTTAGCAGTAATAGAGAACCAAAGCAGGATGGACACACCATGCCATTTTAAAATCTGTACAGCATCCCATTCTTTTTTTTTTTTATAAACTATTTTTTTTTTAAATAGAGGCATGTTTTATTTATTTATTTATTTGTTTGTTTGTTTGTTTGTTTGTTTGTTTGTTTATACATGCACTGGGTACAGTCAGAAGCGTGGGAGGGTGAGAGAATTCACCAGAGCCAGAGCAGGGAGCAGAGCAGGCAGAAGGACCGAAGTACACTGCTGAGGGGAGCAGCGGGCGGCAGGAGAGGTCTGCGCGCCATGCGGGACCCTCCTCCGGTGGCCGGGGAGCAGCCGGGGATTGAACCGGCGCGGCAGAGGCCGCGGGCAGCTTCGCAACCCAGCGCTCAACCGCTGCGTCACCGGGGAAGCCCCAGCATCCCATTCTTTGGGGTAATCCAGCTGCCCCATTCCAGGTGGCCCACACCTCCCCTGCACCCCACCCTTTCCTCTCTCATTCCCATCACAGGTGGACTCTTGCCCCAGTCTTTCAGGAATTTGTCTCTGAGACTAAAGGTGTTTGGAGCTGAGTCATCTCATGAGCTTACCCTTGAAACCCTGAGTCCAAAGGTGCCCTTATTTTCTCCTTCTCAAGACTGATTTAAGTTTCCTACTAGCTCATCTGCTAATAACTATATCCTCCTTCCCTCCCTCCTTCATTCTCTCCTTCCTCTGCCTGAATTATCCCAAATTAGTTTCTTACTGTTTCCAGCAAAGAACCACGATTGACACAGACATGGGCACAAGGTAGGACACTGCAGGCCAGTGTCCCAAGGGAAGAAGGGTGGTGGGAACAAGCTCTCACTTGAGAAGGGGGAAGCGTCCCTTGTCACTGGACTTGCTTTCACTTCCCAAAGGATTCGTGGCCCCTGTCATCTAGAGCAGAACAGTCTGTGGTGTCTGAGAACACTGAGGGTGGGGGGCCAGAGGTGACATGGCTGCTCCTGACAGCATGGGCAACTCAGAGGGCATTGCCAACACCTCCCAGCTCCCACCTACCTATAAGGCGATGCGCAAATGCCATGTCCATTTCCCCTCCCTGAAATCTAGGAAAGTCCAAGTGGGAGTCTGGGGGGTAACTGATTAGGCAGCTCTGGCTGATTAGGCCATCATCATGGTATAGTAGGGCATTTGGTGGACAAGGTTGTAACCACAGCCATTCGAAAGCAACATCTGGGAGCAGCCCCACCGCAAACCTCTGTCTGAGGCAGTGGCCACCTGTGGCAATGGAAAATCATGCCTCTTGCTCCTAACCAGGGTTGAACCCACCCCAGCTTGGAGATTGAAGTCCTGAAAGGATTGTGGGGGAGAATAGCTCCCCCTGGCAGGGGATGAAAGGGGGTCATTAGCTTAGATCATCAACATTCTGAGTAGTTTTTGTGGAAATGGAGTTTTGAAGATGTGCACCCCATGACCTGGTCTCTGGAAGAAAAGCCAACCTTGACCTGGCCAGCACAGGAGGAATCCTGACCCAGGGTGGGGTCCTGCAAGGAAGCAGATGGCGGGCCCTTGCCATTGAGTGCTTCCATATTGGTGGAGGTGGAGAACAGTTTGCTCTCCTGCCAGCTGCGTGGCTGGCCTGGCCCACAGCCATGGGCTTGCTTAGTGCCCCCCACTGCCAAGGACCCTCACACATGACTCCGACCCCAGGACGCCCTTCACAGCAGAACTGGGAGCAGCGGGTTTCACATAGCAGAGACTCTGGTCCTTTGGAGAGAAGGAAGGCAGAGCATGAGGTGTGCTGGGGGCTGCCTTCTCCCTTGCAGAAGGGTAAGCTGAACCAGCTGCAAACTGGCCAGCGATGCAGACAACATGGCAAAAGCATTGGGGGAGTGGTGTCACCAATACTGGCCCTGGCCTTGTAACTACAGCATGGCAACTTTTCACCTGTATCCCTCTCACTCTGTGTCATACACTAATAATCATGGTGGTAGTAAAAAGCCTTCTCTTGGGCCTCCCCGGTGGCGCAGCGGTTGAGCGCTGGGTTGCGAAGCTGCCCGCAGCCTCTGCGGTGACGGTTCGATCCCCGGCTGCTCCCGGGCAACTGGAGGAGGGTCCCACATGGCGCGCAGACCTCTCCTGCCGCCCGCTGCTCCCCTCAGCAGTGTACTTCGGTCCTTCTGCCTGCTCTGCTCCCCGCTCTGGCTCTGGTGAATTCTCTCACTCTCCCGCGCTTCTGACTGTACCCAGTGCATGTATAAACAAAATGAACAAACAAATAAATAAAATAAAATAAAACATGCCTCTATAAAAAAAAAAAGATTTAAAAAATAAATAAATAAATAAAAAGCCTTCTCTTCCCTCCTTGTCAGAGCTGTTACATTTACTATTGCACTCACAGGTGTAGAATATCACCCAGGAGCCTGACAGAAGAGGGAAGGAATAAGCACCGCCCAGGAACCCAGAAGCAAAACCCAGTGGGAGTTTGTGTAGCCCTTGGAATTCTGTGTAAAGTAGGCTGTGTGGGGGGAGCGGGGTGTGTGTGGGGTGCACCTCCTTGCTTGTTTTTGTCCTGACTCCCTCCCTCTGGGCGGCCCTGAGGTTGTGTGTGGGCTCCCAGGGGGGCTCCCTCACTGCAGAGTGGACGTGGGGGCCCAGCTCTCTCCCAGCTGATGTCCCGCTGCTCCTCTTGCTGAACCCTCATTTGCTCCTCCTCCTGGGCTGAACCCACGCCCCAAAGTGCAATCCAAGGGGGCCCACATGAGGCGGTAGTCATGAGCTTCCCATGGTCTGCATTGCCCTACCTGCCCTTGGGGGTGTCCCTGCTCCCTTCATGGAAGAGAAGAGACAGCAGGGAGGGCAGGCCCAATAGGAGAATATCAGGATGCAGAGTGACAGCATAGCTGGGCAAAATAGGCACATCTTGGGATGATGGGCACAGGGAGAGCCCATCATACTGAGATATATGATGCCTAGCCCCTCAGAGCTCCCCAGGCCCAGTGCGCCTCCCCATTGAACCAAAACCTCCACTCCTGGGGCTCTGCTTCTGACCCCTCCAGGAGAGCAGATACAAGGTAACCACAGACATCGGCCTGGCCACCCAGGTCTCAGGCGCAGGCTCTGTTCTCTCTTTCCTGGGGCCAGGGCCAGGCCAGCAGGATGGATGGCAGGGCCACAGTGCCTGGGGAGGCAAGACATGTCCCACAGGTGGCTGTGGCGGCCCCTCCTCCTACCCCTTACTCATTAGCCAGGCTGCAAGGTGACATGGGTTAGCTAGGCTAGCTGGCTCTGGGAGTGCTCAAGTGTGCAGAGTGGCTTGGAATAAACAACCTTCAGGACATGGACCCCCAGACCCAAGAAGTTTGCTGCCCTGCCCTCCGTAGGCTGATCCCTGTCGGCTTTGGGGCTGAGGCATGGACACTCTTTGCCCTTTCTGGACCCCTGGTAAGGAGATAGGATCGGGGGGGGGGCAGGGGGCAGGTAGCTACTGCTTAGGCAGAGCATGAGGTGTGGTGGGGGCTGCTCATACCCTTCCGGAGGCTGCACCCGGGACCACCTCTCAGCAAGTGAAGAGAGGGCAGCTGTCCCTGGATAGTGCCTGGGGTGCATGTAGGTCCTGGCCATGCTCAGCAGCAGGCAGTCCCCACTTAGAAAGGAGGAGTGTGTCCTTCAGAAACCCACAGGGAGGAGAGTTAAAGACCCTGAGATAAAATGAGATGCATTGGTGTGGGGAGACTGTGGGCCCCTCCCCAGGGGGCATTCTCAGGGAAAAGGAAGGACCCATTTTATTTCCAAAAAGGAAAATAACTTCATGTACATTTTAATCAGTATGTGTGCCCTGTAAAAATTTCAAACAAAATGAAAAATTATAAAGAAGAAAAAAAATTCATCTCTCATCCCACCATCTGGAAAAGTCATTGCTAAGATTTCAGTACTTTATTCGGATCCTTTTGTTTGTATGTGGCACAGCCCTTCAACAGCAGCCAGGAACGCTTGTGTTAAGCACTCTGAGCTCCAGGTTCTAAGCTAGATGCTTCTTCTGTATGTTTCCCTGCACTTTTATGCAGAAAGCTGAGGCCTAGAGGTTAACAAGCAGCTGACAGTAGAATGAGAACAGAACTCGGGTCTCTCACTTGCAGCCCTGGCAGCTGTGTCTGCCTCTCTGCCCTAAGGCTTTCTTCCCGAGGGTGGGAGAGTTGCCCAGTGGCTCCAAGTCGTTTTTGGGCTTTTTTTTGAACATATTTTTTAATTAATTTTTTATATCATTGTTCATATTTAAACAATATTTGCTTCCCCCCACCCCCTCAGGTGTAGTCCCCATAGTTTCCTTCCCCAAGGTACCCGTGCACCAGCACCTCAGTCCCTGTGCTCCCCCCTCCCTCCCTCTGATCCCTCTCCCTCCTCCTCCCCTGCAGGATGTTTCTGATTTGTAATTGTCTGTTTTTGCTTTGTTGTGTTTTGTACTGTTGTTATTTTTTTACACTGGTGTCCTATTTGGTTCCCCTCTATTCCTGCTATAAGTGAAACCATCCAATATTTTTCTTTTTCCTTCTGGCTTATTTCACTGAGCATAATTCCTTCTAGCTCCATCCACGTTGCTGCGAATGGCATGAGTTTATTGAATATTATTCAGCAGCTCAAGTGGTTTTTGCAGATCACTGGCATGTGGCCCCAAGGAGCCCAGTGGCCTGTGTTGGAAGCTGGACTGTTAAGGGTCGGAGGCTGCGGGCTGAGGCAGGGCTGAGCCTTGACCCGGCCGGGTCTTCCAGTTCCTGTTCCAGATGCTGACCTTCATGATCTATGTCGTGAGCTCCGTGTTCTGTGGGCACCTGGGGAAAGTAGAACTGGCAGCCGCAACCCTCTCAGTGGCAGTGAGTACTCAACTCAATCTGTGAAAAGACATTCTCTGCCAAGTGTCTTCCGTGGGCCAGAACTCGTGAGGTGGGTCAGGACAGGGAAGACACAGCTCAGCTAAGGGCCGACAACTGCCTTCACTGGGGGTCTGGGGAGCCTGGCGGCCTTGCCCAAGAGCACAAGTCTGTGGTATAGGCAGGGCTGGGGGGAAGGAGGAGTTCTCTGCCTCATCTCATTTCAGAGCTGCAGCTGAGCAGCCTCACCCCAGATTCAGGGTTCCCTCCTCAGACCCTGCCTGACACACCCCATGTGTTTTCTCCTGTGTGTGGTTCCAGTTTGTCAATGTCTGTGGAGTTTCTGTAGGAGTGGGCTTTTCCGCAGCATGCGACACTTTGATGTCCCAGGTAGGTGGGCTGCTCCGAGTTCGGACAATCCCGCCGACCCTGCGAAAGGGCGGGGGGCTGGAGTCTGGATCTTGGAGCCCATTACTGGCTCTGGGAACATCTGCCTTGTTCACACCCCCAAGAGCCCCCTGTTGTTGGGGAACCAGGCCCCTTTAAAAGATTCTGGGAAGATGAGCAAGAGCACCGCTAAGGAAAAGGGGTGGAGACAGTTCTCTGACCTCCAAGGCCAAATGCTGAGGGTGAGATGGGACCTACCTGTCCTCTGGAGCCCATAGCGCAGGGGGGTTGACCTTTCTGCAGGGTCACTGGTTTCCTGGCAGGCCTTGGGACCTGGGCTGGGTCCTGGCTGCCACTTACGATGGGCGACTTGGCCAAGTCCCTGGGAGCCTCTTGCCTTCTCTGTGACTCAGGAAATACCACCTTTCATGGTAGGGGCTTTTGAAGATCTGGGGACAGTGGACAGACAGAGGCTGGCACAAGGCCTGGCACAGAGTCGGTGCCAGGAGGGTGTTCCTGGCATTACCTTTCTGCATGGGCTGAGCCCCTGCCAAGGAAGCCACCCCTAGCCGTAATTGAGGGGTGTTGAAAGCCCGCCAAGAGACATTGCTTCTTATATGCAGCTGGTCTCGCAACACTGGAAATGCTAGCAGATTGAGGCACTGGTCAGGCTCACCCAGGGGAGAGAGGGAAGGTGCTGATACAGGCCGGGGTACATGGGTGATCTGACGGGGGTCGGGCTGTTTTGCAGAGCTTTGGCAGCCCCAACAAGAAGCACGTGGGGGTCATCCTGCAGAGGGGCACACTCATGCTGCTTCTGTGCTGCTTCCCCTGCTGGGCGTTCTTCCTCAACACCCAGCAGATCCTGCTGCTCTTCAAGCAGGACCCGGACGTGTCCAGGTACCACTTGGCTCCTACTGGGAAGCCGGGAGGGAGGCCCTAAATAAACCCACCTCCCAGGCCTGTATCTCCTCTGGTGACCATTCCAGGCTTTGGTTTTGGGATCTTCTATACAAGTTGTTGCTCCAGTTGTGACCAGCAGGAGGCAAACAGCCAGTTTTAATTTAGGAAGAAAGAAGAGAAATAATTTGAGGCTTGTGTTTTATTTGCATTGTGTCCCAGCACAGGGTCAGAACTTCAGTGATGCTTTTGAGAAATGAAATGTGCACCGCCCTGGATGCCCCCAAGGGGAAAGTGGACTGAACCAATTTCTGATGAATTACACAGTTTATTGTTAAATTTAGAAATGTCCCCCTTTATCTTATATTAGCTGTGCTTCTTTTGGTAATTTCTTATTAAGATAGAGCCTTCCCCCTTAAGTACAACACATGCCAAATTAAATCCCCCCAATCAAGAGGCCCCTGCTGGTTGGGTCCCTGAGCTACTCCTGCTGGTGCTTTCCTAGCATCTGGGGAGCAGCACCCTTTGACTACTGAGCTTTCCACTTGTCTTGGCCGAGACCTGCCAGATCTCCACAAACTCAGGTGCTCAGGATGCTCCATCCCCAACGGCCCAGACTGGTGAGCTCTTAGCATCTGGTTGTCTTGCAGGCTGTCCCAGGAGTATGTGCTAATCTTCATCCCAGCCCTTCCGGTGAGTCCACTGCCTGCTGAGCTTAAGGAGGGGGAACTCACACTCTCTCCACTTCAGGGTTCTTGCCTTTCCACCCTGTCAGCTAGGGAGGTCCATCATCTTGCAAGAGGATGGCTGAAAGGAAAGGAGAGAAGTTCCAATTCCAGTTGGTACAGATATAACTTTTTAAAAGTAACATGACAAGTTCTTCTCATTAGAAAACTGTTGGAGAACATTTGGAAAGCACAGAGAGGAAAAATTTCAAATCACCTTTAGTCCTACCACATACAGAAGAGCTGGATTAACATCTCTTCCAGGATTATCTCTGTTCACGGATGTTTGTGTTCAAACATACACACAAACAGAGTTTGACATGGAGTCAGTGTGTGTATATTATAATCTGCTTTTTCCCTTACAAATGTGTCCTTAGTCTCTTGATATAATTAAATACTCTTCCACTATATCCATTTCAAAGGCTACACAGTTTCTCATAGTTGTGCCATAATTTATTAATCAGTACCTATTACTAGACATTTAGGTTGTTTCCAATATTCATTATTATAAACAAGATTGTGATAAACATTCTTAGAGAAAAATCTTTGTGAAAATCTGTAACAATGTACTTGACATGCTTTATTGGAACTAGAGTTGCTCCATCCATGGCTTTTGATACACATGTCAAATGGTACCAATTCTGCCCCTACTAGCAATGCTCTCATCTGCACAGAGTATTATTATTAAATGTTTTCCAAGTAGAAATAAATTACTTTAATAGGCATTTCTTTTGTTATTTACCAAGGTTGATCATACTTTCATGTATTTTATTGATAATTTGTTTTTCTTCTGTGAATTTTCATATACTTTGCTTATTTGGTGGGTCAGTCTTTCTCTAGTTATTATAACTCCAGTTAAATACTATCTTAACTTTTTGAAATATATGTCACATTTTCATTTTGTTATTTGCTTTTTAATTTTTGACTTGAAATATTTTAATGCAACAGGCCCATAAATCTTATCCTTTATGATGTCTTTTTATAGTTTTTTAAAAATAATTGACATATAACATATGGGTTTTAGGTGTACGACAGTTCTATATTTGTATACATTGTGAAATGTTTGCCACAACAAGTCTAATTACCATACAAAGATAACTTCTAGGGTTTACCCTCTTGACCCTCTTTCCCCACTATCCACCCCTCCTCCTGGCAAAAACGATTCATAGGATGTATGCTTGTCAAGAACACAGCCCACTGCAAAATTACATAAACATTTGCCTTTTATGGTTTCTATTTTTTTTTAAAGATTTATTTATTTATGCATACAAGAATTGGGGTACAGGCCAGACATGTGGGAGGGTGGGAGGATTCACCAGAGACAAAGCAGGGAGCAGAACAGGCAGACTGACGAAATACACTGCTGAGGGGAGCAGTGGGCATGACAGGAGAGGTCTGCCGCACCAGGTGGGACCCTCACCGGCCGGCCAGGATCTAACCAGAACTGCAGAGGCTATGGACAGCTTCACAGCGCGGCGCTCAACTGCCTGAGCCACCAGGGAGGCCCTGGTTTCTATTTTTATGCTTAAGACTTAAATCCACTTAACTTAAATGTTTTCTAACACGAATCATCGAATACTTTCTATTTTCTCCATTAGCGTATTAAGTACTAAATAACTAGAGCAACTACTTAAGAAAATTTCTGAGATTTCTAGCCTGACCCATCGGTCTGCATGTCTACTCAGGGCCCTCTGCTGCACTACCTGATTTGTTGTAACTTAGCCACATGCGTGCATGCTATTTCAGGGATGGCCTTGCCCGGGCAGTTAATCTTTCTGTCTCCAGGATGGCAGTATACCCCTCTAGCCTCCAGCACCATGGGGCAGAGTTCTTGAGAAGGAGCTTCAAAGGGAATGGGTCAGAGAAAGGCAGGTGCTGATAAAGCGTGCCCAGGCCTGGGAGGGTGGACCCCACTCACACCCATCTCCCTGAAAGGCCAGTGCCCCGACCTCTTTGGGTCCCAGCCAACTCCAGATTTCTTCTGTAACATGGAAACCACCTAACAAGGCTGGTCTTTCCCCTCCTAATCTTCCCTACAAACTATACTTTGACTTTTCAGACTAAGTTAATGGTATCTTGTCAAACAGGGCCATTGGGGCCTGGGCAAAGGAAGATGTTCTAGAATGATAACACTGTAGCAACGCCTTATCAAATAAAGCAAGTCCTTCCATAAACTTCTGTTGCAAAATTTAGCTGCCAGTGAAACAACTGTTGTGTGTGATAATACGTACTTACCTAACACTTGGAATGCTTAAATACACCAAATGATATTTTGTAAGTGCTTTGCAATATTAACTTTGCATATATTTGTATGCAAATACTAAATATATATTAAGTATGCACACACATGATTATATGCATGCACACATTATCATCGCCATCATAGATAAAGAAAGGCATGGAGAGGTTATGTAACTTGCTTAAAATGACTAGGACAGCACAGGCTCTAGGATAGGTTGTGACAGAGGACAGAAAGAATAGGGCAGTGGCTGACACAGACACACTGACACAGGTGCCCCCTTGGTTCTCCACAGGGAAACACCCCATGGGTCTGGCTCCTGGCAGCCAGACTGACCACTCTCAGTCCACGGCCATTCCTTTCAGATTCTTGGCTCAGGCAGCCAGAGCGATGCCCCGGTGATTACAACCTGTGGATTTGAGCTTTGCTGGGCCTCCTGTGGGTTGCATCCTAAGCTGATAGAAGGCCCAGGTTGGCCACCAGAGCTCTGCCAGGAACTCTGCCTCTTGCATAAGCCAACGCTCCCATGGCTCTCGTCCCCTCACAAGGCCCCTTCCTGTAGGCAGGTGGCTGCAGGGTGGGCTTCAACCGTCCCTCCCCTCTGCCCCATCCTGGGATCCCAGGCATACTTTGGTGAGGTAATGGCCCCAAACTCAGGTACCTGAGAAATATCTGCTAATGTTCATCTGGTGTTTTTCATTGGTGTTTATTTGAATGTATGTGTTTTTATACAGGCGGTTTTTCTTTATGGACTGCTGGCAAAATATTTGCAGAATCAGGTACCCGTCCCTAGCTAGAGGGGCATCCCTCCCCCCACCTGCCCCCTACACACCACCCTCTCTGCTGGGAATGGGTGCACGGGATTCCCTTCTCTGTACCATCTGTGGGCCTGCCTCCACGCCTAGCCTCTTTCAGGCTCCTGGACATGCCCGGGCTTGTCCACACTCGCTTGGTCCTGTCCACCCCTTAGCAAGGCCAGTTTATTTATTGCAGGGGATCATCTGGCCCCAAGTCCTCAGTGGAGTCCTGGGAAACTGCATCAATGGCCTGGCCAACTACGTCCTGGTTTCTGTGCTGAGCCTGGGGGTCAGGTGAGCACGGGGGCTGATGGTGGGATGCATGGACTGGTCAGGAAGCCCTGCCTCCTGAGGACCCCACCCTGACCGAGGCAGGTCAGTCTACCATCCTTGCCTCACCCAAGACAAGGACTGCAGAAGCTGTCTGTGCCACCCAGAAGAGAGCGGTCTTGTGGAAGTGGGAGGCCTACTGGCTCCTTGAGTTCTGAGGACTGCCGATCAAGGAGACAAGGGGAAGAACAACTCCCCTCCTGTGCCCCAGCTTGCCAGGAGAGACTGAGAGTGGGGACCTGGGAGGGTGGCTCTTGGGACACTGTAGTCATGATGCCAAAGGCACTGGGGGTTCCTGGATAAGGTCGATCCTGGGATGGGGTACCCTCTCCTGCCAATGCTGGATTCAATAGGGGAGGCAGCCGTGGGCCTCAGCCCTGCTCTCTCTCCTCTCCCAGGGGCTCTGCTTATGCCAACACCATATCTCAGTTCGTGCAGATCACCTTCCTCTTTCTCTACATTGTGCTGAAGAAGCTGTACCTGGAGACATGGGCAGGTGCGAAGGGCTGGTCTGTCTTTAGTGGGCTGAGCAAGCAGCAGCAGCCTAGGCCCCCAGCACCGACACAGGGCCTTCTTTTGGCAGATGGAGGGCCTGGGAGCCTTGGGCCTTCTTCCGTTCACTTCAGGGTTCATCTCCCCTTCACTCTCCCCTCTATACTCCCCCAAGAGCCCTGGAGCACCTCATTCTATGAGCCTCGGCACAGAGCCCCTTTGGCAACAGGCTCAGGGAGCTTTCTCATTAGGCCCCTGATTTCAAGATGGTGATTAGAATTAAAACACAGGTGGAATATCAGGTGTTAGCAGAGGGCAGAGGGTATGACATTGTTAATTTCATTTAAGTGCCACAAAATTTGATAATCCCCACTTGCCTTGGAGGAAACTGAAACAGAGAGAGGTTAAGTAATGTGCCCAAGATGCTGGACATGATGCTGGACTGGAGCTGGTGCCTGACCGATCCCAGACCATGGGTTTGAGCTTTTCTGCCTCCCATAAGACCACATGCACCTTTTCCAGTCATTTCAGGACCAGCTCTTGGGCAACTGGCGGTCAGTGGAATCCTGTTTGGCTGCACCTATGTCCAAGTCTGCACAGTCCCAGATAGATTTACAAATCCGTTTGGCATCCCGATCTCATGCCAGCTTCCCCACACTCCTCTGGGGAGACGGGGCAAAAAAAAAAAAAAGTCCTCACGAGAGATAAGGAAACTGAGCAAGAGGGAGGCAGCGTGGGATAGCAAGTAGAGTAGGGATCCATACCCCTGGCCGAGACTCCAATCCCCAGGCACCGGCGGGGCAGAGCTGGTCCTTGTCTGCTTCATTCTCCTACCCCAGCTGGCATGCCCTGCATAAAAATGCCAAGTGCCCGAACCTGCTGAGAGAAGCCCAGGAGCAAGAAGAGCCCAAGTCATCAGGGCTCCTGGCAGAGGGTGGACATGCAGGGCAGGCTGATGCTCAGCTTCTGAGGTCCTATTCCTAGGTTGGTCCAGCCAGTGTCTACAGGACTGGGGCCCCTTCTTCTATCTTGCCATCCCCAGCATGCTCATGATATGCGTTGAGTGGTGGGCCTACGAGATCGGAAGCTTCCTCATGGGTATGTGGAAGAATACAGGTCTGGGGGGTGAAGGGGAACCTGGGGAGGCTCACCCAGCTCAGAAACCCCCTCCCCAGGATGGGTAGTTCACCAGCCTGCTCCAGGCTGTATCTGCTGATCACACACCTCCCCACCAGGCTGTGAGGGCCCAGATACAGGCCTGGTCCTTTCATGTTGGGATCCCATCTCTGCCCAGCATAAGGCTGGCACTGATGGGAGCCCTGGAGGAGGCAGCAGAGTGGATGAGGGGGTGGGAGATTAAATGAGCTGGGAGTGGGAGATTAAAGGAGCTGGGGGTGGGAGATTAAATGAGCTGGGGGTGAGCCAGCCTGGCAGGTGTGGGGCTTCCCTGTACTCAGCACAGAGTTCAAACAGCCCACTAGGCCTGAGACACCTCTAGTCCAGCCCCTGTCCCCCATTTACAGGGAGGAAAACTGAGTCCCAAGAACAAGACTGCCAGTCACACAGTCATGCAGTGACTGGACTGAGGGCTGGACTTGGGCTCCCTGACCCTGATTCAATTCTTTTCTGTCCCTCACCATACCACATACAGAGGAGTTCATCTGGAAACATAAGCCAGTCAGGGCAAGAGACTTTGGGAAATTCCCTAACTGCTGACCAGGATTTTCCTGGAAGACTTGACGCTAAGCAGAAACATTTTCTGTCCTTAGCAATTATTTGCCCTTTGCCCTTCGAAGCAGAGGGGTTTGCTGTCAGCTCAGAGTTTGGTCAGCAGCCTACCAGGCTGAGAGCTGACTGGTGCCTCTCCACAGGCCTGCTCAGTGTGCTGGACCTCTCCGCCCAGGCCATCATCTACGAGGTGGCCACAGTAGTCTACATGGTAAGCTCCTCCACCGGGCCCAGCCTCCCTGATGCCTGAGGGTGTCATCGGAGGAAGGGCAGGCTGTCACTCAAAGGCCATTTTGGTCTCTCGAGGGACCCTTCTGCACCTCCTATGTCCATCAGGTCCAGGCCTGGCCAGGCACACACAGGTGGGCCACTGTCACCCCACTGAAGGAATAGCAAACTCTCACAATAGAGCTTTGCTGCTTTTTTATTCACAGCATTTAAAAATTGAGAGATTTCATATCATAATCAGAATTTTTACATTTTCCTGGAATGCCACAATCTATTTAGCAACAGGTCCACGCTCTAGCACCCCTCAGTGAGTTCTGGGGACCACGTGCCGGTGAGGACACTGTCCTTCCGCAGAATCCCGGCACTCACTCCTCTCCCCACAGAGATGGGTGTTGGCCCATGTACCTCGTGTATGCATCTGCCGGCCTCGCGGGGGCTTTCAGTCTGAGACTTGTTTTAAGCAAAAAACTAACATTTACCAAAAAAGTTCATGATTATTATTTTACAAATGGTTTCCACTGAATTTTTTTCTTTCTTACAGGGAGCTTTTCTGCATGCTTAAGACCACATTCACTTCTTTAAAATGCATTTACTCATGAATTTTTGGCAACACACTGATTTCGGTTGCAAGGCCAGTCTGCCTGTGATATTTGGTGGAGGAGATAGGGAGGGCGGGATTGGCTGGCTCATTGGGGTATCGGCACCCCATCTGCCAACCTCAGGCTTCACTGCCTGTCGTTGGCCACCACCAATGCCCCCTCTCCTCACGCCCTCTCCCTGGCATGTCCCCACTTCCTGCTCTCTTCCTTCTTGGCCCAGGCTGGAGGGCTGCCACCCTCAACCCAGGCCTCTTCCTGCTCAGAACCCAGCCAGTCCCAGGGGCAGGAGGGTGACTCTTCTGACAGCTCCCTCCTCTCTGATCCCAGGTTCCCATGGGGCTCAGCATTGGCGTCTGTGTCCGAGTGGGGACAGCCCTGGGAGCCACAGACATTGTTCAAGCAAAGCGATCAGCCATCTCAGGCGTGCTATGCTCAGGTGGGTGCAGCCCTCTCCCGGGAAGGAACTTGTAAAGTTAGAAAGTTGGCATGATGGGAGTAGGGCTGGTCTTGGGAGCCAGATTCATCTCCTGAATCTGTTACTCCTGCTGTCTGGCCCAGAGCAGGCCCTGATGATGAGATGAGCTGACAACACCCCTGTGAGCAGCGGACATCCCCACGCCCTCCCTGCTGCTGGGCTGCTTGGGCTCTCCTGGTTAGTTTCCACTACAAACATTAGCATCACTCTGTGAAGGCCCTTCCCCCAAGCTGTTTAGAATCCTTCTGGAAGCCCATCTCCCTGTGCTGCAAGGAGCTTGGAACATGGCCCCTTCAGAATGGACCGTTCTGTGTCCTCCATCGGGGTTCTTCTGAGGCCGACAGCATTCCAACTGACTTCCCTGGGGAGTGGTGAATATTAGACTTTAGATGGCGCTGGAATCCCACAGGTGACTGTGTCCAAGCATAGATCCCGGGTGTCAGCTGGCAGTTCCTGGAGGTTGAAAATGGTGGGCAGGGAGGTGGCCTAAGAACCTGCATTTCTTTCTTTTTTTTTAAGATTTATTTATTTATTTATACAAGCACTGGGTACAGTCAGAAGAGTGGGAGAGTGAGAGAATTCACCAGAGCCAGAACAGGGAACAGAACAGGCAGAGTGACAAAATACACTGCTGAGGGGAGCTGCGGGCGTGGCAGACCTCTCCTGCCGGCGGCCTGAGGGACCCTCGCCAGTGGCCGGGGATTGAACCGGTGCTGCAGAGGCTGCGGGCATCTTCGCAGCCCAGCGCTCAACCACTGCACCACCAGGGTTGGCCCAGAACCTGCATTTCTTATAAGTTACCAAATGATGCTGATGCTGCTGGTTTAGGGACCCCACTTGGAAAACAACAAGAGGAATATGTTGTCCTTTCTGGAATGCAAAAGAATGATTTGAAGGCAGGGGACTGCAGGTGAGGTGCTGTGATGTGGACAGCTGAGCTGGTTTGCACTGGCCTCTGTGGGCTCCTCTGTGGGTTGGGGTCAGCCAGCATTCTTCCTTTTGTCTCTTCCAGTTGGCACCTCGCTGGTTGTGGGCATCCTATTGTTCATCCTGAAAAATAAACTGGGGCGTATTTTTACCAATGATGAGTAGGTAATCAGTTTTCTTCACTGACTTCTGGAAATGTCAGAGTGGTTTCCAGCCAGTCTTCAGAGATGGTTCCATGCCTGGCTTGGTGCCAGCTGCTGAGGATCAACCCTGACTTTGCTCTCACTGGGGGGAGACTATATCTGCCTTTCCGCCCACCCCCAGGCCGGGGCCTCCACCACTTGCTTGTCCTTAGACAAGATGCTAATCAGAGGACCACAAAATTGTGGGGTTTCTGCAGTCCAAGGTGTGGCGCTAGACTTAAGGGAACTCAGGGCTAGGAGGGTCAGGTACATTCTCATGGGGTAACTTCTCTATTCCAAAAATTTGGGAGATGGGCAGAATAGAAAGGATATACATGGGCTTTTAAGCATACAGTCATGTCTTAGTGTTCCAAAAAAGAATGTTCTTTTCTGTTTCTTCTGCAGAGAAGTCATTGTCCTGGTGAACCAAGCTTTGCTGATTTATGTCGTCTTTCAGCTATTTGAATCACTCTGTGTGAGTACTGCGTTTATGAAGCCTGTTGCGCCCAAGTTTACGGGCCCTTCCTGAGGCTTCCTAGGGCTGTGAGAATTCGCACATTAATACAACAGGTCATCAAATAACGATGCTTCACACAGCATCACTTCAGTGTAATCTTACACTGTTGATGAGAAAAAATAAACCCTGAGGACCTGCTTTTTTTAAAAAAGATTTTATTTATTTACGCATACAAGAACTGGGGTGTAGGTCAGAGGTGCAGAGAGGTGAGAGGACTCACCAGAGACAGAGTGGGGAACAGAACAGGCAGATCTATTGAAATACACTGCTGAGGGGAGCAGTGGGCGAGTCAGGAGAGGTCTGCTGGGCCATGAGGGTCAGCAACCTGGCCGGCAATCAGGGATTGAACCCAGGCCATAGTGGCTGGCAATAGCTTGATTGCACTGAGATTCTCACCCCTGAACCATTAGGGAGGCCCAGGACCTTTTGTTTCCAAGAGCCTATGCTCACAGTTAAGTGAGGACTTACTATACATGTAAAGGGCTAACTGTATAGTAAGTTCCCAAAGTATCTGCTCATATTAATTCCATTAACATTCAACACAAAGACTCCCATTTTTTTCTGAAATTTTAATGAGCCAAAAGATTAGCCAAAGACTGAAAAAACTGCAGCATTGTAAACTCACAAGTCCCTTTCTTCCTTCCTTCCTCCCAAGCTGACCCATGCCCTGACTGGGTCAGGAGCTAAATAGCAACCACACCCTGTCACCACAGCAAAGTGGCTTTTCTTAGAGAATCAACCCAGAATACAGAGGGACCTAAATTTTCTGTTCTGTTGATCACTAAAGAATGGGTTCCCGGGCCTCCCTCGTGGCCAGGTGGTTGAGCGCCGCACTGTAAAGCTGTCCTCAGCCTCTGCAGCGCCAGTTCGATCCCGGCTGGCTGGCGAGGGTCCCACATGGCGTAGCAGACCTCTTCTGTTTCACCCACTGCTCCCCTCAGCAATGTATTTCGTCAGTCTGCCTGTTCTGCTCTGTTCTGCTCTGTTCTCTGCTCTGTCTCCAGTGAATCCTCTCACCCTCCCGCGCATCTGGCCTGTACCCCTGTTCTTGTATAAATAAATAAATCTTAAAAAAAAATGGGTTCCCTTTGGTACAGATTTAAAACATGTGAATTTTTAATTTTAGTTTCGTTTCTATTTTTTAATGTGTTCTCAGTCATCACTTTAAAAACTGTCATTAAGAAATAGGAGAGAAGTTGAATCTAAATTCTCAATTCAGGATTTCACAGAGGTTCAATGAGATGTAAATGCTGAATGACACTTTAATGGGCATTGCCTGAATTAGACTCTATTTCCCAAAAAGGTCACCTTCACGGGTTCTAGGGATTGAGACTTCAATATCTTTTAAGGGAGGGGGGACATAATTCAACCCCTAACACTTACCTTCTTATTACTGAGTTGGAAGATTTCTTTGTAGGTTCTATACACAGGTTCCTTATCAGAGATATGATTTGCATGCCCAACTTATGCTTGACTTTCATTTTCTTCCTGGTATCTTTTGAGCTCCAAAAGTTGTCATTAATATAGTCCAATTTCTGTTCTTCCACAGCTCATACTTTGCTATAGTATATGAGAACTCTTTGCTTGACTCAAGATCACAAAGATTTTTTTCTGTGTTTTCTACTGGAAGTTTTAGACCTTATACTTAAGTTTATGATTCGTTTTGAGCTCATTTTGTATAAGGTATGAGGTAATGGTCTAAGTTTACTTTTTCACACATAGATACCCAATTGTTTCAGAATCATTGTTGGTATGAGAAAAACTATACTCTCCCCAGTGAATTTTCTTGGCACCTTTGTTGAAAATCAATTTATCATAAGTGTAGTAATTCATTTCTGGATTCACAATTCTGGCCCACTAATCTATATGCCTGTGCTATGTCATTACTGCACTGTCTTAATTACTGTAGCTTCAGAATGAGTTTTGAAATTGATTGGTATGAATCTTTCAACTTTGGTGTTTTTTTTTTTTTGGCTCTTCTGGATCCTTTACATTCCCACATGTGGTTTAAATTAAGTTGTCAATTTCCACTAGAAAGCCAGCTGGGATTTTGGAAAGAATTGTGTTGAATCTACAGATCAATTTGAGGAGACATGTCACATTAACAATATCAAAGCCTCCAATCTCTGAACATGGAATGTATCTTCCATTATTCAGATCTTCTTTATCGCAACATTTTTTGTAATCTTTAGTGAACAAATCCTGTGCTTTTTTGGGTTGAATTTATCCCAAAGTATTTTGTTATTTTTGATGCTATTGTGAAACTGTTAATTTCATTTTTAGGTTGTTCATTGCTACTGTATAGAATAGCATTGATCTTTGTTTATTGATATTTTACCTGGTGACCTTATTTAAACTCATATGAGTAGTTGTGTTTTCACTTTTTTGTGTATAGTGTTAAGATTTTATACATATAGGATCATATCAGCTGTGAATAAAGGGTTTATTTCTCCCTTTACAATCTGGTTTGAACCTCTTTTACAGTGTGGCAAAAGTATGTGTCATTGCCTTGATCCTGAAGTGAGGGGGAAAGTATTTAGTCTTCATATTAAATACATTATCTGTATTTAATGAATGGGTGTTGGACTTAGTACTATTTCTGCAGCTGTTGAGATAATCATTGGCTTTTGTTTATTCTATGAATATGGTGTAATGACATTAACTGGTTCTTGAATGTTGTCTCTTGCATTTCTAGGAAAAACTCCTCCTGATCATGGTGTATATCTTTTCTATGGCTTGTTGAATTTGGTTTGCTAATATTTGGTAAAGATTTTGTATTTATGTTTATGAGGGATATTTATCTATAATTTTTATCTTTTTCTTGTAGTATCTTGATCTGCCTTTGGTACGAGGCTAACATTGGCCTCATAGAATGAATCTGAAAGGTTTTTCGCCTATATTTTTTAAGAGTTTGTAAAGTATTGGCATTATTTCTTCTTTAGATAGTTAATAGAATTCATCAGTAAACCATCTAAGTCTGGACTTTTTTTGGTCAGAGGATTTAAAATGAATTCAATTTATTTCCTTGTTAGACCTATTCAATTTCTGTTTCTTGGTGAGTTAGTTTTAGCAATTTGTGTCTTATGCAACTAAATTGTCTAATTCTTTGGCATGATGTTGCTTACACAATATTCCCTTACAACCTTCTTTCTTTCTTGTCAGTAGTTATGTTCCTTCTTTCATTTCTGATTTCAAAAACCTGTCTTCACTTTCCTGTTTTCTTGGTCTTGTTTCATCATGGTCAAACCCTTGGTAAATGTAAATTTTGTGGCTGTTATCAAAGAACTAGATTTTTTGGTTTCGTTGGTTTTCTCTGTTGTTTATTTCAATGATTTTTACTCTCTATTTAGGTATAGTTTGTTCTTCTTTACTAGTTTCCTAAGGTAGAATATTAAGTTATTGGTTTGAGACCTTACTTCTTTTCTAATATAGACAATTAAAGCTATATATTTTCCTCTAAGCATTGAATCTAACACATTTTTCTTTATATTCAGTTCAAAATATTGTATTCTATGTATTTTACAGTTTCTCTTGTGATTTATTCTTTGGCCATGAAGTATGTTGGGTGTTCCTTGATTCTTTTTTTCTAGTAAATCTAATCCTGTTGTGGTCACAGAACATATTTTGCATGAATTTAATCTCCTAAAATGTACTGAGAATGTTGGTGGCCTCGCCTAGCGTAAGTCTATCCTAGAGAATGTTGCATGTGACCATACCCCAAGGACTGTTTTTGTTGCCTGGACTAATTCTGTGGTGCCTATGGAACCTGTGGCTGCTGGTGTCTCTGCTCAGTTTGGTTTACTTATTTTTTCTTATTTTCAAGTTTTTTATAGCTTGTCCCTATGTCAGCATAGCTTAGTATTCAGTCAATTATTGGTGTTCAAACACTTCTGACAGTTGATAAGGCTTCCACTCTCTGCCAAAGGATCATATGTAGGCTGGGGGCTGCCCCAGGTTTTACTTCCTTCCGGGGCCCCTTGTGTCTCTCCTGCCCATGCACTGACTCTGTTGTCCAGGGAAGTGTGGGAGGTTTGGGGCTATTCTGGTCTCAACGACTTGTCTGCACAGCCTCCAGTCATGGGAGCAAAATAAGCCAGCCTTTTTCCCACTCAGCCTTTTTCCCACTTGGAGCTCCCTGTCAAATCCCTATCCAATCCACTGATCCACTGCTTCTCCTGAACAGGTCCATAACCTTAGGCTAGAGGGGCCATAGCTTTTTGTGTGCCAGCCACCGAAATTGTCGCTGTCTAACTCAGGGCTTCTCAACCTTGGCACAACTGACATTTTAGGATGGATAATTCCTCATTGTGTGGGGTCTGTCCTGTGCATTGTCAGATGTTTAGCAACTCTGGCCTCAAAGCACTAGAAGCCAGTAGCATCTCTCAGTTGTGACAACCCAAACCATCTCTAGACATTGCCCATATCCCCTGGAGGGCATAATCACCCTAGGTTTGAGAAATATTGGTCCAAAGCACATCAATCATAATTTGGGAGACATGTTTTTTTTTTTTACCTTTGGCTCCCATGTTCACTTTATTTAACTTCTTCTTTTTTTTTATAATAAATTTTATTTTTATAATCCCCATACAATTGCAACCCCCTTATTTTGACCCCAATCCCTCCCCTCCCGCCCTCTACCCCCATAGAGTGTCTCTGGTTCATAGTTTTTTGTTGATTTTGATTTTCACTTTCTTATAGTTATTCATTTTCCTAGTCCCTTATTTAAGTTTTCTAGATTCCTGCTATGAGTGAGACCATCCAGTATTTTTCTTTTTCTTTCTGGCTTATTTTGCTGAGCATGATCCCTTCCAGCGCCATCCATGTTGCTGCAAAATGCATGTGTTTATCTTTTTTGAATGCTGAGTAATATTCCATGGTATATATGTACCACATCTTCTTGATCCAGTCATCCATTTTTGGGCATTTGGGTTGTTTCCAAAGCTTAGTTATTGTAAATAGTGCTGCTATAAACATAGGGGTGCAGGTGCTCTTTGGAATTGATGTTTCTGTGTCCTTTGGGTAAATACCTAGGAGTGGAATTGCTGGATCATATGGAAGCTCTATGTTTAGTAGGTCAAGAAATCTCCACACAGCTCTCCATAATGGTTGGATCAGTTTGCACAGCCACCAACAGTGCAGAAGAGTTCCTTTTCTCCACACCCTCGCCAACATTTGTTGTTGCTAGTTTTTTTTAATATGTGCCATTCTCACTGGTGTGAGATGGTATCTCATGGTAGTTTTGATTTGCATTTCCCTGATTACAAGTGATGTTGAACATTTTTTCATATGCCTGTTGGCCATTTGCATTTCCTCTTCAGAGAAGTTTCTTTTTAGCTCTTCTGCCCATTTTTTGACTGGCTTATTTTCTTTGTTGTTGTTGAGTCTCATCAGCTCTTTGCAGATTTTTGTGATCAGTCCTTTATCATTAGTGTTGTGTGCAAAAATGTTCTCCCAGTTGGTGGGGTTTCTCTTTGTTTTTGTTATTGTCTCTTTTGCTGTGCAGAAGCTCTTTAGTTTGATGTAGTCCCAGCTGTTTATCTTTGCCTTCACTATCACTGCTTTGGGTGATGTGTCTGTAAAGATGTCTTTGATGTGCATATCATGTAGTGTTTCGCCTATATTTCCTTCTATGTGTTTTATGGTTTCAGGTCTTATATCTAGTTCTTTAATCCATTTTGAGTTGATTTTTGTGTATGGTATGAGGTAGTGGTCAAGCTTCATTCTTTTGCATGTAGCGACCCAGTTTTCCCAGCACCATTTATTGAACAAACTTTCTTTGCTCCAATGCATAGTCTTTGCTCCTTTGTCAAAGATTAGTTGACCATAAATCTGTGGATTTATTTCTGGATTTTCTATTCGATTCCATTGGTCTGTATGTCTGTTCTTGTTCCAATACCATGCAGTTTTGATGATTATGGCTTTGTAGTATAGTTTGAAGTCTGGGAGTGTGATGCCTCCATTCCCTTCTTTTTTTTTCAGGAGAGCTTTGGCTAGTCGGGGTTTTTTGTGAGTCCATATGAATTTCATCAATAATTGTTCTATTTCTTTGAAGAATGACATTGAAATTTTGATTGGAATAGCATTGAATCTGTATATTGCTTTTGGTAGGATGGCCATTTTAATAATGTTTATTCTTCCAATCCATGAGCAGGGGATGTCTTTCCATTTCTTTGTGTCTTCTTCTATTTCTTTTGACAGTGTTTATTTGAAATTCTTGGGATACAAGGAACATACCTCAACATCATAAAGGCCATATATGACAAGCTCACAGCCAGTATCATTCTCAATGGTGAAAAGCTGAAAGCAATTCCATTAAGATTGGGAACAAGACAGGGATGTCCACTCTCACCACTGCTTTTCAATATAATACTGGAAGTCCTAGCCCAAGCAATAAGACAAGAGAAAGACATACAAGGAATCCAAATAGGAAAAGAAGAAGTCAAACTATCACTATTTGCAGATGATATGATAATATACATAGAGAAGCCCAAAAACTCCACAGAAAAACTAATTCAACTCATCAATCAGTTCAGTAAAGTGGCAGGATACAAAATCAACATGCAAAAGTCGGTAGCCTTCCTATACACAAACAATAAATCTGAAGAAGAAGAAATAAAAAAAAACATCCCTTTTATTATCGAAACAAAAAAAATCAAATATTTGAGACTTTTTTTTTAACCAAAAACATCCCATCATCCTCTATGTCATGAAACATAATGACATATGCCCATCATATTTCCAAGTTTAAGAGGCACATGTCCCCTATGCTGATGCATTGCCTCACTGCTCAAACACGTAAAAGCCAATCATAAAATATCTCACATCCTTCATCTTAGCAAAATAAGGGCAACTAGATATCAATTGTTCAATAATACTGACCAATCATGAGCTATGCCTTATAGTTGTTTAGTTTATTAAATCTGAAATCAAGTTAGGAGGCGGAGACTAATAACATAAAGCAAAGGGTTGGCATTTGCTCAAAGCAGTTCTTACCTGTGAGCACATGTGCAGTCATGGCAGGGTGAGGGCGGCTGTCTCACATGGGCCAAGGCAACACCTCTGCTTGCCACATGGCTCCCAAGAATATCTAGATCCTAATCACAGAGCTGTGAATGTTATATTGCCAAAGGAGACTTTGCACATGTGATTAAATTCAGGCTCTTGCAATGGGGAGATTATCCCAGATTACCTGGGTGGCCAAAGTTAACCACAGGGTCTTTAGCAGTGAAACACAGGCCAAGAATCAGAGAATGAGGTGTGACAACAGAAACAGAGGCTGGAGTGGTGCCACTGTGGTCTGGAGACCATGTGCCAAGGAATGCAAGGAGACTTTAGAAGTCAGGAAAGGCAAAGAAATGGACTCTACCCTGAGCCACCAGAAGGAATTGGTCCTGATTTTAATTATGATTTAGAATTTCTAACCTCCTGAACTGTAAATTAATAAATGTGTCTTGCTTTAAGCTACTACATTGTGGTAATATATTAGAGCAGGGAGAGGAAATCAACATATCACTTCTATGAAGTTGGTCCAACCTCCAAGACCAATGTCATGAATTCTTTTACTTTCTAGTGAGGCAACAATGGTGTGGAGGGGAAGACTGGGGCTCTGGAGTTGTGATCAGAACAGTTATTTCATGTAGCACTGGGCAAGTGACTTGAGCTCTTTGACTCCATCTCCTTGTGGAAGAAATGGGGATAAGAGCATCCACTCCAGGGTTGTGAGAAATAAGTAGGGCATGCGATGTAATTGCATGGAAAGTATGTATGGCATGCGCTGTGCCGGCAGCCTCATCTGTGCTAACCTCTCCCCGGTCTGCCTCCCTCCCAGTGTGTCTATGGTGGAGTCCTGAGAGGAACAGGGAAGCAGATCTTTGGAGCCGTTGTGAATGCGGTCACGTATTATGTCGTCGCCCTCCCACTGGGCACTGTGCTGACCTTTGTGGTCGGGATGAGAATCATTGGTATGTGCCGTGAGGAAAAGTCAGAGGAGGTCTGGGTGATCACTGGACACTCCCCATGGTCACTTGTCTCCTGCAGGCCTTTGGCTGGGTATGCTGGCCTGTGTCTTGCTGGCGGTTGTCGCCTTTACTGTCTTTGTGGTCCGGATAAACTGGAAGCTGGCTGCAGAGGAGGTGAGTGAGTCAGCAGTTCTGACCTTAGACTGTTCCTGGCCAAGTGGAGACAGCTCAGCCAGAAATGCCCAGAGCTTTGCAGGCCTCAGAAGTGATCTGGGGTACAAGATGGGGGGTGGCAGGAATCCCAGAGGGACATCTCAGCCTCAGTGTCTGCTCCTTTCATTGTAACTTGACTGCAGACTGTGCCCCTCTGAGCAGCATTTCTCTAATACACAGAGAAACGCAGACCCCAAAACCCCTCTTAGCCAGCCCCAGCTCCAGAAAACCAAAAAGCAACTTGCTCCATCAAGGCTGAACCCAGTATACCCGAGAGTGTTCCCTCACTTTGGAAGAGAGAATAAAATCACCCTGTCCAGCATCTTCTAGAATATCTGAAACTGGCAGGCTGGCATTTGCTTCTCAGTTAAGGCACAGCTCAGTCTCTAGGCAGTCTCTCAGTCTCTAGGCGTTCTCCCATGACCCCGAGTCCTGGCCAGCCATGGTCTTGCTTTCCTGTATGGATCTAGTCATCTTGGCATCTAAGACAATGGATGAAGACAGATTTAGAACACCCCCTCAAGACCCCCCACACTATGAATATGTGAATACGGACTGCTTTAACAGTGTTTTAAAGGCAAAACATGGATGAGGCCAGTGGTGAGAGGGGGTGGAGGAGGTTGCTGGCTGGCTGACCCAGGCGTGTTTTCTCTCCTTTAGGCTCAGAAACGCATAGGGCTGCCCCAGTGGAGTGCTGAGAGCCCTACAGGCCCTGTGGGCCCCCCGAGCATGATCCCTGTGAGCACGAGCCCCAGACCTGGGCCCAAGAAAGCTGTGGTATCTTCAGGTAATGCTCTGACAGCACTTCTCTGGGTACAAAGACCCCAGAGGACACTGCTCCAGGTGCCTCACACGGTTGGAAATGATGTTCCATGTGCCAGGAAGACCACATTAGTATCTACTAGTTGCCTGGCCTGGTGAGGCAGGGAGTTGTAGTCCTATTGTCAGATGAGGAAGCAAGGCTACATGTCCTGCAACTGGCAAAGGTTAAGAGATGACCCAAACATGGACCTATCAGACTCTCTAGTGTGTTTTCACCAATGGCCCCTGGGGGATCAGCCTGTTGCCATAAACTGGCATGGTGGGATACTTCCCCTTCTACCTCTATCCACCCCATTAGACATGTGGGCACCTCTGGTTTATGTCCCATGTGTGATGAAATGATGGCTCCAGCCCAAATGCAGGTCTGCTCCTAAGATTTTGCTGAGTGTCAAGCACCTGTAAAAATAGCCCCAAACTCTCAGTAGCAAAGTGACCTCATCTGTCCTGGGCTATGCTGCATAGGTGCTATAGTGAGCCAGTTGACTAAAAGTCTGGGATCTCTTGTCACAGTAAGGTATGACTGACTAAGCATTTAATATGCTCTCTTCAGTGAAGTCTTACATGCAAGTTACATTCCATGTGTCACATTCATCACAAGAACATGCTTAAACAGGAAACCACCTACTCTGATATCAGTAATAAACTTTATCAAACATCAAATACTCGGTTTTGGATGTTTTCCCATAATTCCCTCCTCTGATCCTATAGATCGACTAGGCAGACCTTTTTCTATCATATGGGCATTTTCTATTGTAAGGCACAGAGATCAATTAATAAGTCACATGGTAACAAATGCAGCCAGGAGCTTAATCTGGGTTTCCTGATATCTTCCTTGGTTCTGACTACAATTTGCTCCTGCTTATCTCTACAGTGGCCACGGGCAGTTCCCCAGGCATTATTTTGACAACATACTCAAGGCCTGAGTGGCATCTGGACCTCTTCAGGACTCCAGAAGCAGCCCATTCCCTCTCAGATCCTGCCAGCAAACTGTCAATGAAACAGCTGGTCATCCGCCGTGGGGCTGCTCTGGGGGTGGCATCAGCCATGCTGACAGTGGGGATTGTCATCAGGACCCTGACTACCAGGTACTAGCAAAGCAGCTTGGATACAGAAAGCAAGCTTAGAGTGGCTGGAAGCGCGCGCACGCACACACACACACCCCTGCAAAAGTTTGAGTAGGATCTGGTGCCAGTGCTCCTGCGACAGTTGAGGTCTGCCTTATGCAGACAATTCTATCGTGGTCAAATCAGCCTTTCCTCCTCTGACCCAGATTACTCTTTAGAAGAAGACTGTGTTATTTAAACATCAACAATTTCAAATTAGAGACTTCAAATCAACTTTTCAAAACCACCATTACATTAAAATTTACTTATTTCCTAAGCAGTCTCTTGTCCAAGCCTGTTCATAAAACCTTTGTGAAGCTCTGCACAGGGGCTGAGTGGGCTGCCCCTGCCCTGTGCCACTCCAGACCCAGGCATTATGAGACCTCAATTAGGGCAGGACAGCTGTCTGCAGACCCTCCTTTCCTCCAATCCTTTCATTCCACTGGCATTTTCACTTACCATAGACTCTGAGAAATACTTGTTCTTGCCACACTTTTTCTTATAGTAGTGGTATGATATAAACAAGAGCAGCAAAACCCAGCCCAATTCGAAAGGAAACCGGCACTCCTATGTTCCTAGCAACACTATTTCCAATAGCCCAGATATGGAAACCTTAGTGTCCCAAAACAGATGAGTAGATCAAGACATGGTATATATACACAGTGGAATACTACTCAGCAATCCAAAAAGATAAACTCACACCATTTGTGGCAACATGGATAGGTCTAGAAGGGATTCTGCTAAGCAGAATAAGCCAGGAGGAGAAAGACAAATACTGGATGGTGTCACTTCTATGTGGAACCAAACAAAGAGACAAAGACAAACTTTAAAGCCAACCCTTAAGGGCCTCCTTGGTGGTGCAAGGGGTTAAGCACCGCACTATGAAGCAATCCACAGCCTCTACAGCACAAGTTCGATTCCCAGCCAGCCAGGGAGAAACCCACATGGCGAGGCAGACCTCTCCTGTCTTGCCCGCTGCTCCCCTCAGCAGTGTATTTCAGTCAGTCTGCCTGTTCTGTTCCCCACTCTGTCTCTGGTGAGTCCTCTCACCCTCCGCATCTCTGGCCTGTGCCCCAGCTCTTGTGTGCATATATAAATAAATCTTTAAAAAAAAAAAAAAAAAAAAACAACCCTTAAAAGCTGACCATAGATCTGTGACCTTCAGAGTAGGAAGGAGGGGAAAGGAGTGCACCAGAGACAGGGGTGGGGAGGAGCACAATGGACGATGGTAGAGGGCTGCACGGATGCTTTGGTGATGGAGAGCTATGGTGGCCACACCTGAGGGGAGAAATCCTACATTGTCAAAATATTAACAAGGGTGTAAAACAATGGTGCTTCATTAAAAGCAAGCAAATAAATTTATAACAAAACAAAAACACTTGCTTTAGATGAGCCAATTGTGTAAGAGGATGCATGCAGTGGGAACACGCCTACTCACTACATAGGGACTTAAACAAAAGCAAAACCCCCATGTGATAGAAAGCAAAAACTGAGAAAATCTTCTAGGCTAAGAATTTAAAATGAAAAAGCATGCTTAGAGAAAACTGATGAATACTACACTCTTTTGCTAGATAAAAGGATTTACAGTTGGAAAAAAATTATGATTAAAAAAGTGTCTCCAAAAGGTTGTATTTGAGGTTCCAAACTCAGAATGTTATTAAAGTTCATGCCAATTGTATCAAATATCACATATTTATTTTGAAGCAGAATATATCAGTAGACAAGGAGATATTTAGTTTAACTAGAAATTATAATGTACAATTTAATATACTAAATGAAAATTCCATACTGAAGTTTTTTCTAAAATGGATTATGGCTGATTAGTTGGCTAGAGCCATGTTTGTGTAGCTTTGTCTAGTTTAGTTCAATACCTCATACTTCAGACAGCCTTAATGGAACAGATTCTTTCAGCAAAGCTGATAATACACTCTGTAAAGTGAATGACATTCTCTCACTTAGTGGGCTGAGTCTGCCTCAAACGAGGCAGAGGGGCAGAGGGGCAGAGGATGGTGGAGTCACACTGCACTGCCAGCAGGGGGCTCTTCTTTAGCACTTCCCACTTGGCTGAAGTATCTCAGGTGTGGCCGCTTTCAGGAGAGTCTTCCCATGTCCTCCATACCTTTCAGCATGGTCAACTGCTACGGCTTACACACTTCTCCAAACTTCTCCAAGAGATGCACCATCAGTCCTGTGAGGTGCTTGGGGTCCAAAGTCCATGACAGGAAATGGCATCACCACTTTAAGTTCTGTAGGCTGAACTTATTCAGAAAGTGCTCTCTCTAAAGTTTAAAAAAGTGACATTTACTTGCATTGTGCTACAGAAATAAGAAACATAAAAGATTTGTTCTTGGAGGTCTATTAACTTATAACTTGAGAGTCCTGAGTTAGGATACTTTAAAAATACTTTAATTATAGCATTTAATAAGATGCAGAATTCTACAATTTCTACACCATTGAGAATAACAGGTGATACTTACAGGAAACTGGTAACTGTTTTCTAGGAAGCCCTAAGATTTACATGATGCTCTGAGTGGACACAGAGAGAATTGTGGATAGTCACAAGATACTGCCACAAACTTAACACGAGACAGTATGCGGAAGAGATGAGAACGGAGGAAGAGCACTGGTGGGATGGGCCAACTTCTAGAGGCCAGACCTCAAGTCCCAGGGGGTCAGGGAAGGTACCCCCACCACAAACACTGTTCTAGTGCCTTATGGGGAACTGGGAAGATCTAGCCTCACCCCTGGGCTGCAGGGGACTGCTGCGCAGTGTTGAGCTCTTGAAAGTTTCAGAGGGTGATGGCGGCAGCAGCAGAGGAAAGGTGTGCCATGTTCCTTGAAGTAGAGTGAAAAAGTCATCAAATAGGTTCTAAGACCCCTTTATGATGCCCCAAAGAACTCGAGTTTAGCTTAATATACTCTCCTCCCCTAGTTCAAATTTCTAAGATTGGGGTAACACAATCTGGAATGGGTTCTGTGAGTATCCTCACTATCAGGGAGTGTTGGGATTTGGTTGAAATGTCAACTTTAATAAAAGTGATTGGTAATGACTTTCAGGTTTGATTACAGTGCTTGCATATTTTCTTAGGATTTTAAAATCGTTGGCTCATTAACCATTTAATAGAGGAATAATTCAGTAGAGGCAAGTAGGAGGTTGAACAGGATCATTCTTCAGTAGTATACTACCTGGAGAGAGAAGAGGATCCAGATTACTCTGCTAGTTTAAAAATCCACTCACCCAGCACTGGAACATGAACTTAGACTCAGGACACTAACAAATACAGTGTCTTAAGAGACTCTGCATACACTGTATTAAGGCCTATGTATTCTTAAGAGATCTAAGTGTAGTTTGGGCTGAAGATAAATGATTATGCCCCTCAAACAACAAAAACAAGACAAGTAGTGATGGAGACTGTATCTGTACACTATCAATGAGACAATATCAGAGCAGAGAGAGGAATGGAAACTATTAATTTACTATCCTAGCACTGGAAGCAGAAGCCCTACATGGAATCTGCAAAGTGATCATTCTGTTCCTAAAATTCCATAATAGTACTGAAATTAATCTATGTCTACTAAGCTGAAGAGGTGCTGCTACAACCTCAAAAAGTTCAAAGTCATATTTAATTTTCAAAGGCCTACTGACATTCATCAATTTTAATATTTTGTATTTCTTAACCTTTTAACAACTGTATCTCCTACAATGTTTTCTAGCATGTACTAAGCTTTACTGGGACTTGGGTTTGTGTGTGTCTATGTGTGTGTATACAGTAGCAATGCACATGTACATTTTGAATGCATACAGAAAGTTTCTCCCCACTCAGATTCTAATATGCCCCTTTTAGATTGATAATCACTACTTTAACTTCCCATTTTAAAATGTTCTAAAGTCACTGTTTACTTTTACAAAGTAATAAAATCAAATCCAAGCATCTAACAAAATAAGCGCAAAAGAAGTAACTTCAGAAAGGTGTTTGCAATTACCATAAATAAGGGCTCCTCAAGTAAATATACAACATAGCCTCAGATTCATTTATCCAAAACAAAAGATGATTTCATAAAAAGAGGACAAAAGTTGGGCCTCCCTGGTGGCGCAAGGAGTTAAGATGCAACCTATGAAGCTGTCCGCATCCACTGCAGCATGAGTTCGATCCCTGGCCAGGGAGATACCCACACGGCAGAGCAGACCTCTCCTGACTTGCCTGCTGCTCCCCTCAGCTGTGTATTTCAGTCAATCTACCTGTTCTGTTCCCCACTCTGTCTCTGGTGAACCCTCTCACCCACCCCCCACACCTCTGGCCTGTACCCCAGCTCTTGTATGCATAAATAAATAAATCTTAAAAAAAAAAAAAAAAAGAGGACAAAAGTACAGAGAAAAGAACTGAAAAGCAGCAAAGAGGAAAAGAAAACCAAAACTTTATCTAGGCACAATGAATCCAAAACAATCTGAACATCAGTTCACAGTAACGAGAAGCAGAGTTGGCAGTAACCTGGGAAATCACTGACACCTCCTTTCCTATTATGCAGAGGGGCCTCAGGACGGGCTCAGAAAAGGCCCTGCCTAGTCATCATTAAGTCAGTATCAGAGCTAAGAAGTTAGAGTCATGCTTTCTTGTTCTGTTAAATATTTTTATACCTTGCTGCTTCTCTAACAGAGAAAGGTTTGTCTGTCAAGCTGTTTTGGGAACTCTGGGCAGGCAACCTGGCCCCCTCAGTCTGTCTGGCAAGATGCATTGCACCTGAGGGAGCTTTGGTGGGACTGTGGCAAGCCAGGACAGCAGGCAGCCTCCAAATCTCCCAGGAGGCTAAGAAACCTTACCCCAGACACAAATATAATTATCAGGTTGGGGGATGGTGTCTTTGGAAAACAGCAAGTTAGGCAGATAATGACCACAGATCCAACTACACCTCCAACCTCAGGAAGACGGAAAAGTAAAAATAGCCCCTAAACTGCATACTATGCTTTGATTTGCATATGCATTTGATTTGCCACCATGAATTCCAAAGTCAAATTTTTAAAAACACAAACAAAACAACAAAAAGATTGGTGAATTATTCTCAAATTGTGAAACAGTTCAGGGCCTAAGTAGTGACTGCAGGTCTGTAGTCAGCCAGCACTTCCTTGGGGACACTGAGCAGACGGGGAGGACAAAAGGGCACTTATGACTACTCCTCTTCTAGAAAGGATGCATGCTGCACCAAGACCAGCTAAGCCATTACCTCTACACATTTCTTAGTTTCCAGCAATCTAGCCTCACCCTTTAAGAACTGTGGACAAGTAGTCTTAAGACTCTGATCTGCTGGGCCAAGGCCCAAAACGTCTGGAGATAAATAAGCTGAACATTATTTATTCAATACCCATAGGCCTACAATTGTAGAAAAACAAACAATTGAAAGAAAACATAACCCACCTTGCCTACTTATGGAAAGAAAACAAGGAGTTCCTACCTCACTCTTAACAGATAGAGCTGGCATCTGAATTTTCATCACTGTTTACTGGAAAACACAGTCTGTGAACAGCCAGAAAAATCAACAGGGCCTTTCTCCTCAGCACAGCTTGGTATTTCTGAGAAAACCCAAATGATTTCAAATGCGACTGGTATCTCCAGTTCCATGAAGCTGTGTTAATGTAACATAAGCCAACCCCCTTTCAAATTTTAAATACAGATATGAAGACAGCTATTTCTATGACACACGTGCATTGTGCCTCTCTGCCAAGTCTAGTCTTCATGATGGAGCCCATTTTTTAATGGACCATCTCAGTTGGCTGGCTATGAGTACATTATTATTCCCCATACCATCTCAGCTTTCCCTGGCTTGGATATTCTCCTCCCCCCAGACACACTACCCACCTTAGGAAAGCAGCTATCACAAGGGTCTCTTAGCCAGCCCATGTCTGTAATAACTAATTATCAAAGGCAAACATGGCAGTCAACTTGTCTGCATCACCACCACTATCGTCCAAGATTCTCTCCTCCACGGCATGCTCATTTCATGCACATTCAAGAACAGAACAGAAACTGAAACACCAATGGCAAAAGGATAAGTGGGTTAGATAGCTCCAAATTCTGCAAGCAACTTCTAGACCAAAGGTTGGCAAACTTTTTCATTAAAAAATTAGGCTTTGTAGGCCTAAATTCCCACAACTAACTCCCTTTTGCTATGTAACACAAAAGCAGTCAGAGATTATGAGTAAACAAATGGGTGTGACTGTGTCCCAAGAAGCTTCATGTATAGAAACAGTTGCTGGCCAGCAGGCAGCAGTTTGCCAACCTGGTCATAGCCTCGGAAAGTAAATGTAAAGACAGTGAATTCACAAAACGAAACGTGCCCCCACGAGGAGAAGCACATCGGGCAGGCCCAAAGATGGCGCTGCATGAGCAGTGGAGACTTACCTTGACAAGCACAGCGGCCACAATGCCCAGGAAAGTGAGTAACAGGAGACCGAGTTTTCCTTTGTTGAATCGTTTCAAGATGAAAAATTTTGCCCAATCCACCTTTGACTGGCTGTTGGGAGGATATCTGAGTTTGTTAGCACTTTCTCCCTTTAAACTTTTTACTAAACAGGGACGATGATGAGAAAAGGTATCAAAACTATGTTTTCCGTGATAAGCTCCCATCCCACTTGAACCTGAAATAAAAGGAACAGACAAAATAGGCTCCACTGTAGGTGACACAAGCTACACACTAGCAAAGGAATCCCACAGTTTCCCTGCTGCCTGGGATGCCCCGTGGAGCCTCCTGGCCAGCTCTATAAGAGACGCTTTTTAGGAATCGCTTCCCAGCATTCCAGTAAAGTGAAGACCTATCAAGTAGGATCGTTTCCAAGAGCAGCACGAGGAGCCACAGCTCTCTCTGGCATGGCTCTCCCTGATGCTGGCATTTAAAGGCATTCTATAAGTTAGTTTTCACCACAACCCTGCTGTGGAAAGCAGCATCATCCCCCAATGCTTTTTCCTCCAGAGAGGAAAAGAGAGCTTAACATGGTTGGATAAACCCACCCAAGTTATAAACACAAAGCCAGGTATGGCCTTTTACAACCTCTCCAGGTAGTTGAATTTCCTCACAGCCCACTCACCCCTTTCTTCTTCTAAGGTCCCAGAAATGACAACGTCCAGGACAGCAGGGCCTTGTAGCTGGTGACAGTAAACAATGTAAATCCCTGCCTTCTGAAAAAGCCATGTGCTGTGACAGTTTTCACGTCTCTAATCTATTTCGTGCGCTGGACAGAGGCATGTGTGTGGCCCAGTGGCAGAAGGCAGGGGCAACCTGGAGCTAGGCTGGGACCTCATTCAGGCAACAGTTGATGTTGCAGATAAATTGGCAATAAAATCTTATGCATTTTAGAAGAAAAATCTAAGCTACATGCCAAATTATTAATAGTGCTTATGCCTGGGAGATTCCCCTCTTTTTTACCACTTTTCCCCAAAAGGCCTATATTACATTTAGAAATAAAAAAAAAAGCATTTCATTTTGGGAAAAAAAAATGTAAAAACCCCTTTGACACAGCAGTTATAGTGCTGGACATTTTTCCTAAGGAAATAATCAGAAACTGCACAAAAGATATATAAGAACCATTATACCACAAAGACCTGAAATGAAAAAGCCTAATAATAGGACTCAGTTAAGAAAACATACTGCATTCATACAACAGAACAATACGCAGTTCCTAAAATCACAGATGTTGCATGTACTAATACGGGCCATGTCACAGGACACTCTCACAGGCAGGGCAGAAAACAAGACACAACAGGATACAGTTTTTGAATAAAATATTCACACGTATGTGAATATGTGATGCACATAGATGCAAGGATAAGAAATTTAAGAACATGTACCAAAAGTTATCTTTATAGTGGGGTTTTTTATGGGTAATCAATATTTTTATTCTTTGGACTCTTCTATCTTTTCTGAGGTTTCTTTAAAAACCTGTGTTCTTTTTGCATTTAGGGGGCAAAAGGTTTTCCTTTTGTTCTAAAAAAGAGTTAATGATGCCAAATGCTAACAAGTCATCAAGACAGCAACTGAACCAAGCAGGAACATCCAGCGGCTTGATGACAGCCCTCAGTGGCCATCTTGTGTAAAGGGATCCTCAGGGTACAGGATCTAACCAAATCTTTTAAAATTTGAGGCAGTGAAAGTACAGTAACTTCACCTAAATCCCACAAATCATCCTTACTTTGAGTCACCACCTCTCCTCCACATGCATTCAATCCATCAGCAAATCCTGTTGCTTGATACCACCCCTACCTACTAAATATCCACACCCCTACCACCACCCTAGTCCAAGCCATCACCAGCTCCAGTCAGGATCCTGCAATATCCCTTGACCTGCCTCTCCCCTCTTGGGCTTTACATATGCCAAGTACTGTGGTAGGTGCTGGTATTACATTTACATTCTAGAAAGAAACATGTGCCAATCATGCAATGTCAGCCAGGGATTATAGGACAAGGGCAAGCTTGCCTTAACCAAGAACAGGTGTTCCTGCCAAATTGGGCCACCATTTCACTCCCATGGAATACTTGATTTATGCTATTACAGAGGGAGAGAATAAAGCAGGAGCTTTTCAGACAGCCACTTTCATTATTTGCTTTTTGCTATGAGAATTTTCATACATTCCTAATTCTGTAATATCTCTATTCTTCAACAGGAAGCCTACCACCTAGGTTCCAAAGACAAAATAAAAAGTTGAGTCAATTATCTTAGATGTCAAAGAGGCAGGCAGGACACATCCCAAAGAGAGCAGCAGGAACCAGCCTGTGTTCACAGAGCTTCAGCAGAATGAATATTTGCCTGCCTTCTCTAGAAGAGTCTTATTCTCAAGCTGTGAAACAATTCAAGGACAGCCCTCTCCCTGCAGAGGGGGCAGGAATTGAGAGCTACTCTATGTTACCCAGGGTAGGCAGTACAGGGCAACTGCAAACCTTCACACTGCTGTCTGCGCCAATATTCTGGGTCTGTCATTCACTTTAAAAAAAAAAAGGGCTTTCCTGGTGGCGCAAGGGTTAAGAAGGGTTATGAAGCTAACCGCAGCCACTGCAGCAAGAGTTCGATCCCCGGCCAGTGAGCAACACACATGGCACAGCAGACCTCTCTTGCCTCGCCCACTGCTCCCCTCAGCAGTGTATTTCGGTCAATCTGCCTGTTCTGTTCCCTTCTGTCTCTGGTGAATCCTCTCACCCCCCGCACCTCTGGCCTGTACCCCAGTTCTTGTATGCATAAATAAATAAATCTTTAAAAAAAAATAAAGAGACAGGGGGACTTTACTTATTAATTTAAGACCTGAATGTTGGCCAGGAAAATCCCATAAATCTGGAAGCAGGACAACAAACAAGTAAGCCAGTGAAAAGAACAAAGTAATTATAAATCATGGTAAGTGCTGCTAAGGATGGAAAGTGGGTAGCAGGACAGGGATGAATCCCTCATCAGTAGGTCTGCTGGGCGGTAGGAAGACGACTTTAGGTGGGATTTCAGAGAAATCCCCTGTCAGGAAAGGGCAATCAAGCAGAGACCTGCAGAAGCAGCAACAGCAGCTTCCTCAACCACCTGGGCAAAAGATTTGTGCAATGGTGCCTCTGGGATGTTTTTGAAACATTGACTGCAAACTGGCAAGAGGACTACTCACCCACTCCTCCAAAGGGCAAAGAACTGAGTGTAAAGTGCATGATGACATCGTTGACCGTGACACCACCGCTCGACGTCTCATCAATCATGCGTTTGACAAGCTGAGGAACAGAATAAGGCTCCAGGTCAGCAGTGCCTGAGACGCTCACTGTGAGCTCTCCAGAAGGAACTCCTGGCTGTGTACATTTGCAAGCTATTTGGGCTTGTGGATATACTTGAGGCGAGACCTGTTTACTCAATCACCATGGGGAGCTGGGCTACCCAAAATGGCAGCCAAGGAAGTCTTCCTTTAAAATAAGGGGACAGTTCATTAACATTTCTGTCTCTGCTCTAAATTATGGCATATGATTAGTAGCTATCATTTAGCTTTATGAATCGCCAACAAAATTTGAGATTTCAGACTTCCTATTTCTGAAGACATGGTTGGCCTTGTATCTCAATAGGCACAATGTCCTTTCATCTGGCTGCTAACAAGCCCTGAGAGTCCTTTGTAGAGAGTGTCAAAGAGGACAATAGTCATCACAAGTGACCCAAATGCTGGGAGGCACTCCCCACTGCCTTGCACCCTGGCTGGCACATTTTAGGCTTCAGTGTCCCTACCTATTTTCTACGGTCACCTGAAATTCCAACCATTGTTTACTAATAACCCAGTCCTACTGGGCCCCAAACATTGGGATTAACTTCACATATCTGTTGCTATCTGTATCTCCATAGCATCACAAGCTCTAGAAGCTGCCATGTGATAGACTTTCTCTTCATTACAGTCAGAGACATTCCAGAACATGTTTGGTTTGTGGACTTATCAGACCTTAATTGGTGCCATCTTCCTCCTTCTAGTTTTCCCTTTCCCTTTCAGGAGCAGAGGGTTCCTGAACCTACCTACCTACCTTACCTTAAAGCCACTGTCCCTTAGCAGCAATCGGTCACTGTGATGTGAATGCATGCACCATGCAGTAAGTTGTGGTATGATGCAGCACAAGTTGCTAACCAGGCTGGTACAGTAATATGACTCTAACAACAAAGGAACCAACTGGAGAAGCTGAAGTCCTGGACATCACAACCACTTCCAGGATAGTCCCAGAAATCCCTGTTCCACACAGCCCCACCACAAAGGCTGTGAAAACTGTTACAGTAAGAGGGGAAGACTCTTACACAGGAATGCCCCGAGGAATAACATCAGGGAAGCTTCTAGTGCTGGTACACATAAGTCTTCCAATTATAGGGGAGGTGTTTATAAACCAAAAAACTTGTGATACCCACCCCTGAAGACTCAGACTAACCCCAGGGAGTATGGCAAAAGTTATCCTAATAACCCCAGGGCCTCGTTAACCAAGACAAGTCTGTAAGTTCAGCCTCACTTGATGGACTCTGGTATTACAAAAATAAATCATTTGCCTTACAGTAACTAAGGACATGATTTGTAACAGTGGCTTATGCTAATAAGCTATTCTCTTTAAGTTTACCTTATTGTTATGAGAAAACACATAGAAAGCCAGGGGCTTTTCACGTTCATTTATGAATTGTATGGCTTCATCTGCATTCTTCACAGGCACTATTGGAAGAATTGGTCCAAAAATTTCTTCTTGCATCACCTTGGTTTCAGGATTAACATCAGTAAGTATTGTTGGGGCTGAAAAAAAAACCCACAAAAAACAAGCAAGGTGAAAATGTAAAAGTAAACAACAGAAATACAAGATTCATCTTACATTTATTTTATCAGGTCATCTCCCTACTGGAAAAAAAGTCCTAAGTATGTGAATGAACTGTGCAAATTAAATTGGTCTCCAAGCACATGAGTAGGATCTCTGTGCAAGAAGGGGGTGATATATACATGGATATAGTCAATTCAGCACCCCTAAAATATTTACTACTTATCCCTTTACAGAAAGGAGCTTTGCACTATTTTATTGTTTTCTATATTCTCTGAGCTGGTATTTCTACCAGTCATAGATGACAGTAAAACCACTCAATATATATATATAATAATCATCTTTTTAGAAGTTTATAGACTGTATATAAAAAAGCAGTATTTAATAATTTTTCAAACATATAATATTTTATTTACTGTTAGTAAAGAGTGTTACTAAAAACTATCAAGCTGCCATTATCAAGCTGCCAGGTAAAGGTAAATTTCCATTACCTATGTAACGTGTGGCTTCGTCAGCCTCCCCACCAAAAGCTATCTTTTGTCCTTCAAGCAAACTTAATATCCTCTTAAAATGACGAAGATTGATGATCCTTTCATAATCAGGAGATTCTTTGATATTTTCTCCATAAAATTCCTGTTTAAAACAACAGCATGTAATTGTCACAAAAAGCCTGTATTTCTTTTTTTTTTTTTAGATTTATTTATTTATTTATACAAGGACCGGAGTATAGACCAGAAGCGCAGGAGGGTGAGAGGATTCACCAGAGACAGAGCGGGGAACAGAACAAGCAGACTGACAAAATACACTGGTGAGGGGAGCAGTGGGCACAACAGAAGAGGTCTGCTGTGCCATGTGGGACCCTCACTGGCCAGCCAGCCGGGATCAAACCGGTGCTGCAGAGGCTGTGGACAGCTTCACAGTGCAGCGCTCAACCGCCTGTGCCACCAGGGGAGGCCCAAAAGGCCTGTATTTCAATTTAATAAGTACAAAACCTACTCACTTTCCCAAAACGATCTGGTTTATATCCTCATAGGAGCCAACACCCCACTCCCCAAAGACTGTTAAGAGGAGCAAAATCATGCTAAGTCTGAGCATTTTGGCAGGTCAAGGATACAAATAAAGAGCACACACAAGTCCATCATTTTTCAGTTCCAGGGGGGTCATATGGGTCCCCTGGGGTGAATGTGAGAAGATGTGGGGTAGATCTGCCCTCTCCTGAAATGAGCTGGGGAGTAGCAGCAGACATCTTATGGTGCAAAGCCTAAAATATTGACTACTTATCCCTTATAGGAAGAGTTCTGAGCTTTACATTGTCTTCTATCTTCTCTGGGTTGTTTTTTCTACCAGTTATAGATGATAGCAAAGCCACTCAAAAAATTCAAAATACAGTTTGCTAAGTTAACCACCATAAAAGAACTCCCGAAGTCACACAATGCTTCTTCTGTACAACAAACACAAAATACTGAATGGCTACAATATTGCAAAGCCTTGTCAGAGCTCCTAATTTACTCTCAAATCAAAATGAACATCACTCACTCACCTGCCACCAACAGCCTCAAATCCACATGGTTAAGACTCACCAGGATTTGAGGAGAGTCTTTACGCCTACATCCTTCTTAAGAGATGTACAATTCCCACATTAAGACCCTTAGCACCTCATGCCCCAGTGACCCAGCCTGGAGTACTCTACTTTCCTAATATACAACTTCATTCTCTGATCGTATTGGCTACTCTCAGTGTTCTTGATCCCTTCCTTCTGTGTTTAATTAGCACCGGTTGAGTAAACAATGATAGTTCCAATAATTTCTTCACCCAGGGGGTTTAAGGACTGTCCCCCTGCCCCCGCCAATGAACTCATTCACACTGGTGGGTCCCATTCCTTTCTTCCAATTAAAATCCCAGATGTCTTCAAGGCTTAACTCAGGACACTACCATGCAGTCTTCCTTTACTTCCTTATTAAACATCTTCAAACACCATGAAAGATTGATAACCATGTCAAGAATATACTAGAAACAGATATTTAATTAACTCACTTCTCCAAATCACTGACCTTCCTAAACCCTCTACCTACATAACAACTGACCTCACAGCAATGGCCAAAATATTGGGTTGTCAGAAAAGTCATGATGTATTTTTTCTATGCAAAAACGTGTCATGACTTTTCTGACAACCCAATACCAAGGGGCCTGATTATACCTCAAAGGATTGACAACATTCTCTCAAGACAAAACCCATGCTTAAATATTTTCAACCATATGCCACAACTAGTCAGTTGTTACATCAATCAACTAGACAGTTCAAGTGGTTTAAACACAGACTAACCTCATTCCCAACAGACATCTTATGAAAAGTATACAGAGCATTTTTAAATAGCCAATAAATTCAGTCACATATGCTACTGGAATTTTCCTGGGGGGTGGATAAGGGAACAGAGATGCTCTCTGCAAATAGTTAGTCGGACTTCATATCTTAATGAAACCAAGGAATGAAATGTGTCAAATACAAACCTGCACAGTCTCCTTAATCTTCTGTACGATTTGACTCTGGAGAGATGGTTCACAGAGAATGTAGTCGGGAGCAATGCAGGTTTGACCACAATTCAAGTACTTCCCCCATGTTATGCGTCTGAGGTGAGGAAGAGAAAACCCAAATAACTATGTAACTCAGTCGACTATTTACTTATCACATACCGTTATATAGTTTGAAAGTTTCACAAGTAGCAAGATTACTTGGTAATCTTTATAATAAATAAAATACTTAAAAAAGCTTATCTCTAAATCAGTTGGTTGAACCTTAGAATGCATTTTTCAACTGACGTAAAATATTCTAAGGAGCAGGGAAGTTCTCACTCCATGTACAAGAAATAGTACTTTATAAGCACTGTAGCCCATGACTACTGCAGGAAAAGAGAAACAGTCTCCCAACACCCTCCTTCTCCTCCAGCTCCATCAAGAGAATACTCTGGGGGGACTTAGAGTATGGTGGCACAGGGGTTAAAGACAGTGCTATCAAGTTATCACCAGCCACTGCAGCACGAGTTTGAAACCTGGCCAGGGAGCTAACCCACTGGCACAGCAGACCTCTCCTGTCTTGCCCGCTGCTCCCTTTAGCAGTGTATTTCAGTAGATCTCCCTGTTCAGTTCCCTACTCTCTCTGGTGAATTCTCTCAACTGCCCCTGCCCCTGCACCTCTGGCTTACACCCCAGTTCTTGTATGCATAAATAAATAAATCTTTTAAAAAAAAAATCACATTATAAAAAAGAGAGAAAGAATACTCTGGATGCCAGGAGTTCCACACAGCTCTGCCTGTGCTGGTTGTGGCTTTAGATAATGCTAGCAAGATGTTCAGGTGTAAAGCAGAACAGCAGTCAGTCTCTAAGATCACCCTCTTCTAGGTGGAGCCCCTCCCCGCTTTGGGAAGTCATTCTCACATATGGAATGACACACATGGCCTGAAAACTCATTATCTGAGGGTCTCATTGTAAGAGCAACAGTGAGGAGCAAGCTCGGAGCCAGTGCTGGTGCTCATAACCTACTCTATGATAGAAGGTAGAGCTTTCTAGATTCTACCTCTGAGGTCAATTTGGTGGTAGAAGGTAGAGCTTTTCAAATTCCACCTGCCAAGTAGTGGCCAATAGGAAAAGGGGCAGAGCTGAGGCTGTTGGCAGTTAAAGCGCTGAGATTCTTTATCAGAAAAACTGAGGAGGTTTTTGGGCAATTAAACTGCTAGGGCTTTTGACCAGTTAAACTGTGGGACTTTTGGCAGGTAAGCTGCTAGGTTTCTGATGGTTAAACTGCCATCTGTGGAGAAGCCTCCAGCTTGCCATGTACAGCTTCTGTTTGTATCTCAGTCAATGCTCAGTGGACACCGTCTCGGGGAGGACAGACAGCACCTGGTCACTTGCCAGCCTGTGAATACTCTTCCCTATCCCTTTTTCGCACTCCCTGTGTAAATTGATCCTGTTACTATTGTTTCACATGTGCCTGCTTTGCGTCATAAGCACATGGCTGAGGACCCATCAACCTAGTGATCACCCCCTGGATTTGCTGGAATTTCATCATGCTTTGGCAATTATACTTCTACTTATTATGGCAACCTGGACCTTGACCTAACTCCCTATATGTCCTCTTTGCTCCCCACCTCTGAAGGGGAGAAAAAGCTATACACACAGTCAATTCTGGGTTTTGTCACTTCCTGGTAACTAAACCTGATTTAGCAGAGAACATGAAATCTTCTGCTTTCTGGTTCCCAGGTGCAAGATGTTATTCTCAGATAAAATAAGAGTAATATGGTTTTATCAACAAGGAAATTCAGTTAAGAAAGCAATATAATGTTCATGCTGTTAGGAACTTAAAGATTTTGTTAGGCATTATCTACTTTAGGCATTTTCTTTGCATTATCTACTTCCTGTTTCATCTGCCAGCATAACCATACAATTTCTCACCAGATCTGTAATTTAGAAGAGACAAATCATTTTCATAACACCTAAGGAAAGCCACATTATCTCAAGACCTACTGTACATTTTTTTCAGACAATGGAACCACGAGACAATTTGTGAAAGAATTCTGTTACACTTGAGAACACTAACCATGAAAACTTAAGAACACATAGGGTTCAATTGCAAAGAGAACACACTGACCTGTTGGGAAACTCTCCACTGTGCTCAGAAAACACCAGATAACCAAAGGGCGAATCTCACCTGCAGGCAATGTCCAAGTCACAATCTTTGTCAACATAACATGGACTCTTCCCTCCCAGTTCAAGAGTCACAGGGGTCAGATGCTTGGCGGCAGCTTCCATGACAATTTTTCCAACTGTAGTGCTTCCAGTATAGAAAATGTGGTCAAATCGCTGCCTCAGGAGCTGTGTGGTTTCCTCAACACCACCATTAATAACAACATACAGATCCTGAAAAAAGAAAAACATAAACACTACTAGCAGAGCTAAACTAACCCTACTACTTAACATGAACAATTTCTTCCCCATAGACATGTACTATGCAGGAAAACATGGAGACCGGGCCCTGTGAGGACAGAAGAGGAAGCTGACTGAGGACAAGCTGGGAATACTTTCAGTGTCTAATGGCATCTGAGAAACAACAAGTGACCTAGAGAGCCCAATGTTTTCCAATGAGCTCAGCGGTGAAAACAAAAAGGAGAACAATGGTTGAATATGACCAGGGAAACGTATGAAATTAAGGATGGGGATGGAAGCTGAGGATACTGGTGCAAAGGTGGCCATAATCAATGACCACAAGATAAGTCCCAGATGAACATCTTAATCTGAACATTTTCTCTATACACAAGACAGCTTGGGACTTAGTCTATAGCAGAAACTAACTAAGTATTTGCTAAGTAAGTGCTCAGCAATGAGCAAGAGCACTCACTTTGGAAGTCAGATCTGGATTGAATCTGGGCTGTTACTCACTAGCTTCTGTGACCTTCAGCAATCTACTGAGTATCTCTGAGCCTCAGTTTCCTTATCTATTATTGCTTTGGACTGAACCTTTGCATGCCCTTTTATGAAAGAGAAATCTTGGGTAATAACAGCATGAAAAAAATGATGGAGAATAGATGGCAAGGAAGGAAGACAGAGGGAATGTCCAGAAGATTCTGAGGTTAAAAAACAAACAATAAGAAACAAAGGATTCTGAGGTGTGGCAGGAAGTAAAAGTTGGCTTTGTAGACTCATGTTTCCATTTGACTTCCTACTAGTTAGGAGGGCTCATTCTCTTCATAGTTCAACTGCCCAACAGAGGTTTCAAGTTTTAACTTGCATATGGCTTAATCTACAGAGCATATGTGAGTGGGTCCCCAACAACCTAAGTGAGATGGTGCAAGCATTATTATCCCCATATGGACAATGAATAAAGAATTTACCCTTGATGATGGGCAAAGCAGGACCTTTAAATCTCTATTCCTAATCCTACTCAACCCAGGACATCTCACTGTCTTCATCATCCTTCTGAACTAGATACAACAGCTACTAGAACAATTAGTAAAATTGTTTTGTGAGCTGCCTTAACAGTGATAAGACAACAGAGACCATTATTATTCTAAGAGCCAGACTTGGCGTCTAGACTATTACAAATTAATGTGTACAATTTCAGGTATGAAATTTTAAAGTTGCCTTTCAATGAAAGCTAAATGAAGAGTCTTGCTTGCAGCAATTTCATGTAAAACTAAGTAGTCCCAACTTGATGGGGGCATCATAAACTTCATCCCTAGAAGGGCATGAAACTATCTGATTTGGGCAGAGATGAGCCACCCTATGGATGAGATCATATCCTTTGTTCAGCTTTTGATACTCTTTAATACCAGCACCTTAATACTAAGTGAAAGAGGCCATTTTCTTTCTGTAATTCTCATGCTAACAAACACGCCCACTTTAAAAGCAGAAGTGTTCTTATATAACCAAACCCCATTTTGACAAGAGGTTATCAGTATCCAATACAGTACCAATTCTCATTAAATAATTCACTTCATGAATAGACCTAAAATTATGTTAGCTCAAACAATGGTTACTCCAAAATGACAAACAGCAGAAGAGGATGCCTGTGGTAAAATAGCAGGTGTTCCTTTGAAGCCCTGGGCCTAAATATATTGTGTAACCATAACAGTTGAGCCATTCCACAGTTTATTTTGGAGCTTAAAGTCTTTGAACTAAGTCAATACAGGCTTAATGGAATGAAACCAAATCCCCAAGTAGTCAGTGACATGGAAAAATACGAAGATCAAATGTGTGTTCCCCACAATAAATAGGCATGTTGAATCGAGAAGCTCTTACCTGATCTATATATTGAGGGAGGAGCTTAGCCAAGATATTGGCTGTATTTTCACTTAGTTCAGAAGGCTTGATAATCACAGCATTTCCTAAACAAAGCAAAAAGCAGAACAGTATCATCTAAAACTTGAATAACTTCAATAGTGACCAAAACATTGTTCGTGTGAGAAGTATAGGCAGGGTAAACACTCCAATTATTTCTCCAGTTCTGAATTCTGCTCATCCTCAAAATAAACATAAAAGCTCATCTTACTTTCTCTTCCTTTTTACTTTTTCTCATTATCTTCAAGTCATTAACAACAGGCTCTATCAGTCTCACCAGTCCTCCAGTTTTCTCTCACTTTTCTCATCTGTCCTTGGAAGGATCGGGCAAACAAGTTATGTCAAGATCAAACTGTTGATCTGGATCTCAAAGAAGTGACAAAATAATCTCTTGGCAATTTCTATATAGTCAACCTAGCATTATCCCCTTCTTTGAATGAGGAAACCAGTCAATCAGAACTGGCAACTGAAACCACATTAGACTATGAATGCCTGACTCCAAATATCTGGACTCAGATGCCTCTATACTCTCACAAGTTCATTCCCTGTGTGCTTCAAAAAATAGTCACCACACAAATCTCCTCTAGAGTCCATTTTAAAAAATATTCATGCTGGGGGCCTCCCTGGTGGCACAAGGCGTTAAGACACAACCCATGAAGCTGTCCGCAGTCTCTGCAGCATGAGTTCAATCCCCAGGCGGCCAGGGAGCAACCCACATGGCGTAGCAGACCTCTCCTGACTCACCCGCTGCTCCCCTCAGTGTATTTCTGTCAATCTGCCTGTTATGTTCCCCTCTGTCTCTGGTGAATCCCCTCACCCCCTGCACCTCTGGCCTGTACCCCAGCTCTTGTATGCATAAATAAATAAATCTTTAAAAATATAATAAAATAAAAAATATTCATAAATTCTCAATACATTGCCAATGTAAACCCAGGCAAACATCACTATCCTTAATTTACAACCAATGAGAGGGTAAGTCCCAATAAAAAGATATAAAGATATATGCTAACACCAGACCTGCAGCAATGGCTCCTATCAGAGGCTGAATGACAAGAACAAGGGGATAGTTCCAAGCTCCAATAATTAGTACAACTCCCAGGGGCTCTGGTTGAACATAAGCCTCATCCATCATCGTGAGCAGGTTCTTCTTAGCTGGTTCAGCAGTAACCCATTCAGGAAGCTTCTCCATGACAAGATCAATTTCTCCAAGGATGGTAATAATTTCATGACTGTATGCATTGAATTCACTCTGTTATTAAAGAATCACAGTTAACCTTGCAGAAGTGTGACACACTAAGCTCTAAACATCTAGGACCTCAGGGCAAGTACATCTACAGTGACAATTGGCATTATCAGACTGGCTGGTCTGATATTCAGATTCCTTCTGCAACCTCCAAATCCTCAATAAGGACATGTTAACTCCCAAATATATTTAATTCCTCCAATACCCTTCTGACACAAACCATTTAAGCTAGACTTAAATGTTGCCTCTTACTGGAAGAGTTCCCTGATGGATAGTGGTCTGCCTTGATCATACCTTATAAACCATAGTAACTGTGCTTTTGATTTGTATCTTAGTATTTCACCCACAATATACTATTTTTTAATTATATTCACATTTTATGCATGTTTTGCTTAATTGCTATGTATGTTTTGTTTCCCAAATAAATTTTAAAACTTCAGGGGCAAGAAATTTACTATATTTCTTCAGTGATCCCATATATACACATATTCACACAAACAATCTGACACTTATAGAACAAATGATTCAAACTTCTTAAGTATCTTACTTTTATCACTTCCTCTTCAAAAGTGATATAAAGGAAATTTTATAGTTAACCAATGTTATTACTGATACTGAAGTTACTACTCTGATTGGGGAGTAGTAGGGAAGAGAGACTGGCAAAGCCAGAGCAAGGCCTTATTATTCTTGGAACGAAAATTAAAAACAGGGCCTTCCTGGTGGCACAGGGGTTAAGCACAGCACTATGAAGCTGTCAGCAGTCTCTGAAGCACAAGTTCGATCCCCTGGGTCCAGGGAGGTACCCATAGGGTACAGCCTGGTTCCCTGGCTGCTCCCCTCAGCAGTGCAGTTCAGTCAGTCTGCCTGTTCTGTTTCCCTGCTCTGTCTCTGGTGAATCGTCTCACCCCTAGCACCTCTGGCCTGTACCCCAGTTCTTGTATGCATAAATAATCTTTTTTAAAAATTGCAAAAAAAAAAATAAAAACAACGATAATATAGCTAAATATATTTATATCGTAAACACTACGTCAAACCTCGCTACTCATAGCATGGTTCCAAAACAGGTAGCCTGGTACCACCTGGGAGCTCGTTAGAAATTTAGAATCTCAGACTCCTTTCCCAGCCCAAGTGAAGCATAATTTGCAATTTAACAAGATCTCCAAATGATTCCCCAGCTCACTATAGTTTGCGGAGCACTGAGCTAAAACAAAACAATGAAGGGAAATTTGGGAGCAACAATGACAACCCAAAAAACCCCTCTGTCTACAAAAGCAAAAATAAAGTTAAAAGGCAATAAATAGACCCGGAGAAAATTATCCGCAATATATTAAATTACAGTAACCCAGAATAAACAAAATTCCTCCAAATAAGGAAAAGGGTCATAGATGCAACAGAAAAACAGGCCAGAGCACAAAAAGTAATTCACACGAAGAGGAATTCCCGGGCCAGAAACATGCACTTCTGTGTCTGCCAGAAGAAACACGCACAACAGGACTGGCTAAGCAAGGTAAGATGATCGGCCAAGCCAGGGGAAACGTGTGCTTTAATCCGCACTGTTCTATATAATACTCCCACAATGCTTGCATAATCAAAAAATTTAAAAATGCAAAAGCTCAAGGGGAATGCGGTCCTCAAGTGGGGCGTGGGGGTGGTGCAGGCTCCTCCCCCGCGCGCGTACTTTGCACAGATCAGCACCGACAGCCGCCAGGATGTCCTTCTCGCGCTCCTGCATCATCCTCCGCAGGGCCTCGAGCTGCTGCAGCCGGAATCCCAGGGGGCGCGACCGGCCCGACCGGAACGCGTCTCGAACCCGCTGGACTTCGCGCTCCATGGCCTTGTCCTAAGGCGAAAGGGGAAATCGGGAGGCGCCGCCCGGCAGCGGCGGGCGTGATGAAGGCCCGCGCGGGCGGGGACCCTCTTCTCCATCATCCCTCCCGCCGGCGGACCCCCACCGCCGACCCCGAGCGGTACCTGGCTGGCGAGCTTTCGGCGCCGTCGCGTCCTCTACAACCGCCGGCCTCCAACTGCCCGATCCCGACGCCGCGGGGTCGGCCTCGACCCGGAGCCACGCGCCGATTGGCCGGGGCTTGTCACGAGACACCCACGGCGCGGGGTGGGGACACCCTGGCCCCGCCTGCGCAGCAGCCGCCCTCTCCCTGACTTCTGACGGCTGCGGGGACCAGGGGTCTGTGGCCCGGGGAGGCTGCGCGGGGTGGGGTCGCGGTGCGTCCGGGCCCGAGGAACGAGCTGGTGAGAGGAGCCTCCGGGTGGTTCCAGGACCCGGGGTGAGGCGTCCCCGAGAAGTGCGTGGAGAACGAAAGGCTGAGGCGCTGAAGAAAACAAAACGACAGTCAAAAAGCTCCCGATAGCCTGAGGAAGCGCGGCCCTAGCTCAGAGATGCTCGGGAAAGGGCTCGTCCTCCCTCCTCCAGCCTGTAGTAATCAGACGTGGCAAAACAAACACCAGGGAGACCCGGGGCCACCTAAGGCGCAGGGCGTTGCCTCTGCGAATGTGGAGCGAGGGCGCCATCATCCAGCGCTGTCTAATCTCTGGGGCCCCGAAGCTGACGAAGCTGACGCCTCTCCTCCTCCGGGTCAGCCGCCCCAGCTCCTTCCCGCACTCTCAGTTGCCCCCTCTTGAAGCAGCATGGGTAGATTTCAAGACTCTCCTCCCTAAACAAAGGGGAAGATAAACAGCTGGGACTACAACAAACTGAAAAGCTTCTGTACAGCAGAAGAGACTGTAATCTAAAGGAAGAGCCATCCTGCTGAATGGGAGAGCGTATTTGCACACTATGCAACAGGTAAGGAACAGATACCTAAGATCTGCAAAAGAACTTACGCCAAGCAAACAACCCAGTCAAAAAATGGGCAGTACTAAAAAGACACCTCTCCTAAGAAGAAATGCAAATGGACAAACTGTTCACCGTCACATGATCAGGGAAATGCAAATCAAAACTGTAACAGGGTGGTCCCCAGGAAAGGGGGAGGTTCCCTGCCCCACCCAAGGGAGGGTGGAGCTGAGCAGGAAGAGGAGAAGCAGCAGAAGAGACTGAGGAAGGAAGCAGGATGGAGCCAGGAGACCTGGAGGAGGCGCATGGAGCCTAGAGACACGTGAAGAAACTGTGCTTGTCTTTTGGTCGTGGACTGGGTGACACAGATGTGGGTGAGACCCGTGGGGAGGTGACAATGGCAGCTTTTATCTTGATGTTGATTTTGCTCTTTTCCTTCTGGACTTGTCCGGTTGTTTGTGACCCTTTTCTGTGGGTCCCCACTGGAAGATGCTTTAGACTTTTAGCAGGCTTTGGGGCCTTGTTCTGGGCCGATCCCATATGGATGGACTTTTACCCACGAGGGGATGGGTAACTTTGGGTGCTTCATTTAGAAACTAGATTCTTTGCCTTACCTGTATTGTTTCCTAATTAAAGTTCCTTCCCATTAAAGTTTCATATGTTTTGTGTTGATGCGGCGGATGGCAGAACCCATTTAGAATAGGCAGGTTTGCGGGGCTTGGGCTGCCCCTCTCCCTGTCCTATAACAAAACCACAATTAAATACGACCTGACACCAGTGAGAATAACTCACATTAAAAAAAAACAAACAGGGCCTCCCCGGTGGCGCAGAGGTTGAGCGCTGGGTTGCGAAGCTGCCCGCAGCCTCTGCAGCGCCGGTTTGATCCCCGGCTGCTCCCCAGCCACCGGAGGAGGGTCCCACATGGCGCGCAGACCTCTCCTGCCGCCCGCTGCTCCCCTCAGCAGTGTACTTCGGTCCTTCTGCCTGCTCTGCTCCCCGCTCTGGCTCTGGTGAATTCTCTCACCCTCCCATGCTTCTGACTGTACCCAGTGCTTGTATAAATAAATAAAAATAAATCTGTAAAAAACAAACAAAAAACTGGAAACAACAGATACTGGCAAGGATGTGGAGAAAAAGGAACCCTATTACACTGATGGTGGGAATGTAAACTGGTCCAGCCACTCTGAGAAGCTGTGTGGAGTTTCCTCAGAACACTAAAAATAGGGCCTCCCTGGTGGCGCAAGGCTTTGAGAGACAACCTATGAAGCTGTCCACAGCCACTGCAGCAGGGTTCCATCCCTGGCCAGAGGGCAACCCACATGGTGCAGCAGATCTCTCCTGATTCACCCGCTGCTACCCTCAGCAGTGTATTTCAGTTGATCTGCCTGTTCTGTTCCCCACTGTCTCTGGTGAATCCTCTCACCTCCGTGCCTCTGGCCTGTACCCCAGTTCTTGTATGCATAAATAAATAAATCTGTAAAAAAAAAAAAAACCACTAAAAATAGATCTGCCATATGATCCAGTGATGGCACTCCTTGGAGTCTACACAAAAACACTAATTTGAAAGGAAACCTTCACTCCTGTGTTTGTTGCAGCACTATTTACAATAGCCAAGATATGGAAACAATGCAAATGCCCCAAAACAGATGAATGGATCAAAAAGTTATGGTCATCTACACAATGGAATGCTACTTACTGATCACAAAAGACAGACTCATGCCACTTGTGGCAGCATGGATGGAACTGAAAGGGATTATGCTAACCAAAATAAGCCAGAAGAAAAAAGATAAATGTCAGATGGTTTCACTTATGTATAGAATATGGAGAAACTGAATAAAAGGTCAAGAAAAAAAGACAAAACTTGCAGCCTGACCATAGATCTTTGCCATACAGCAAGGAAGGGTGAGTAAGTAGGTCAAAACAGGAGGGAAGAACACCAGGGAATATGGTGATGGTTTACAGGTGATATGGTCGTAGGAGAACTATGGGTTATATATCTGAGGGAATAAATCAAATACTGTACAAAAATGAACAATGATGTTAAAAAGAAAAAAAAGGAGGGGGGTGTCCTCCCAGGTTAGTGCCCTGAGGGCAGGAAGCCATGCCTCCATTTGTCCTCGATGTTAGGCAGCAGTGTAGGAACATTATCATCGCCAATCCATCCATGGCTGCAGATCGCTCCCCAGCTACCATGTCAGTTTCTGCTCCTCTTTATAGCAGATTGGAAACTTACTCAACTCAGATTTTTCTCCCTATTTTTTGGTTGCCAAATGAAGTAATTCTCCTATCTCATTTTACTCATTTCAGAAATAGTTGATACAACTGACCATTGTTATAGTCTGGAGATCTTTTCTTGGCTTATTTCCCATTATGATGTAGTCTTCCTCTGCTTGTCTTTTTACCTCCCTGACTAAGTCCTCTGGGTTTTCTTTTGCTGAACCTTTCTCCCCTTTCTGGCCTCTTTAGTGTTCTGCTGTCCTAGGGCTTACTCCTAGGACCTCTTCTCTTTTCACAGTCACTCGCTCATCTATGATCCCTTGGATGGTGGTCAGAGAAGGCTTTAAATTCCATCTCCAGTCCCACTCTTACCTCTGAACTCCATGGATACATTCAACTACATCTTATTGATCACTGTTTGAATTTATAGTAGGAACCTTAAAGTTAACTTTAGATAAAATTATGGTTTATCCTCCATCGAACAACTAAAATGTACACCTTCTCCAGTGTCCCCCATCTCATTAAATAATAACACAGGAGGGTGTTCTTCCCTCTTGTTACTTAGAACAAGATACTGGGAATCATCCTGGACTCTTTCCTTTGGGCCTATCTTCAAAAAGTATATATTGAATCCAACCACTTCCTCCCTAGTTCAAGTCATAGTCACCTGTGCTATGCATATAGCACAAGTCCCACTGGATTCCCTGCTTCTTCTCTCAACTCTCTGGAGGTTATTTATCTTTCACTGTTCAGTTCTACATGTGCCCTTTTATAATCTTGTGTCACAGGGGCTCAGAGTATATAAATTCCTTTCTCCAGGTTCTTATGCCACCGGGCTTCCAATACAATTCTACCACTTAGAGGCAGGAGTGGGAAATCAGGCAGAAGGAGGAAGAGCAAAAATAACTTTCTGCCTCTGGACTCAATAATGTAGTAGTTGCTGGCCATTTTGAGTGGAAGTAGAGATAGGATGATTCCTGACTAACAGTTTGTTCATTGGTTAAAGAGAAAAGACTGCAGGTGAGCAGGCTTCTTACATCACAGGGAAAATGTGTAGCCACCAACACATACCAAGTCTTCAGGCTAAATTTCCTAAGGGTTACCTGTGCTTGGCAGGCCAACCATGTAATGCCAGTATCTAGAACTGAGTCCCAAGGTTTAAATTAGGCCAGAGTTCACCATAGTATAGCCAATTATCTTTTTGATAAGATATGATATAGAAAAGTGACTTTTTTTTTTAAACTCTGAGCTGACAAACATTACGTAAGGGACTAGATAAACTAAGATATAAATCATGCTACAAATTTTAAAAATAGTGAATAGAACTCCAGTATTAAAATATGACAATAATCAGCATAATCTAAGGTAAATTTATCTCTGAGGAGCAAAGAATTGCTTCTCCCGCTACAGATAAGATGTGGGGATTTCAGTGCCTCCCTGGTGGGCCTACAGGTTAAGTCTCAGTGCTACCTTAAGTCTCAGTGCTACCACCAAGACAGCCTGAGTTTGATCTGGGCCAGGGAGCTGACCCTCATGGCGCAGCAGACCTCCCCAGTCTTGCCTGCGGCCCCCGTCAACAACGCATTTCATTAGATCTGCCTGTTCTTCTCTCCACTCTGTCCCTGGTGAATCCTCTCACCCCCCTGCACCTCTGGCCTGTACCCACAGCAGACCTCTCCTGTCTTACCCACCACTCCCCTCAGCAGTGTATTTCAGTAGATCTGCCTGTTCTGTTTCCCACTATGTTTCTAGTACATCCTCTCACCCACTACACCTCTGGCCTACACCCCAGTTTTCTACACAAAAATTAAAGTGGAAAATGTCAGACTGACCTGTTGATTAGCTGAAGTTGGGACATAGCCTGTAGATTGAAAGTTTCAGGGAACAACTGGTAACTCTCAAGCCCACATACCTGATTCATGTATCCCAGCTGACTGTATCCCTTGCTTTAGACAAAAAATATTCTGTTGCCTAAACTCTCAGGGCTCAGACTTTGGAGAGAGCTCCTCTGGGCCCACCAGT